CTATTTGTATCACAAACGTGTAAGTAATATAGACTATATATATAGTGCATGCCCATCACCTCTCTCTTTCTCTCCCACTCTCTCTCTCACACTGCAAGTTGTGTGAAAAAGAAACACTACTGGATGCATATAATTGTATCACAAACGTGTAATATAGTGCCCATCGGCCCTCTAGCTCTCTCTCTCTCTCTATATATGTATGTATATATATATGTGTGTATATATATATTGTCGACAGTTTTGATAAAATCTACGTGGGCTAATTTTGTCCATAGGTCCATACCAAAGACTCACTCGAAAGCATGTGGTCGGTTTGGACTGAACCAAGTACTACTAGCAACACTCTTTTATGGGCGCAAATCCTCTGCTCTGTGTGATTTCTATGCTCTCCTGTTGTGAATGTTAAATGGTCTTGGTTTCGTCGCTTGATAATTCAATATTCAAATGGTCTTGGTTTCGTCACTTGATAATTCAATATTCCGAATCTAATTTAAACTTGATATATATAATATCATTATTAATATTGTTGTAGAGAGTTGCTCAGTCGTTTGGTTGGTAGAAAGCCGAACTCCCGAATTGGGTGTGCCCATTCATGCTCGACTGAGTATATATAGCAAATTCATATAAAATATAGCTTAATCCATTCATTTTTAACCTGAACTTAAAAACATAAAATAGAGTTAAAGTTAGTTAGACCCATAGCATAGCTTGGTGTATTTGTATCTCAATATATGAAAATAGTTAGTGGAGTGTCACAACCTTTTTATTCAACGGCCTTTATTTTTTTAAGTACAAATTCAACTCCCCATTATCATTATAATGATATTCGTACTCATATTATTTAAATTAAGACATAGGTGCATGCATATATGATTGTTAGTGCAAATCTTGGGTTTGTGAGAAATCAGATAAACATGATAAAAATATTAATAATAATTTAATTTATCAAAAGTTGTGTAATATAATGATATCTCCTCATGTCCCTCGTAGAAACAAATAGGGGCCTGAATTTCTTACCAATGAGAAAACAGAATTTTAATTGAATTTTTTTAAGGAAAAAATACATGTCCTTTTGGGGAGTAGAAATTTTTAATAATTGTCTCATTTCAAAATTATTATATTATTCTTTTAAATGTGGATGCATATATAATCAAGTTTGAAAATTTTAAAAACTTTAAGGATATTTACGGAATAATGTAAAATATTTTGTTTAAATTTAATAAGTAAACAAGTATTTTGAGAGAGCTTAAAAAAAAAAATGAATAACTAAATTAAGACTGAAGGAGAGAGAAAAGAGAATGCATACAACCATACCAATAAATGTATTTTTTTATATATATATTTGCCTTTTATTTTACAATTAAAAAAATTGGTCCATTAACTGGGGTGTTGGATGAATTCAAAACGATTTTGACACTACCATCAATGATCTTGAACTTGAAAATGATGAATGTTGACAGATTGTGTTGGGCACTTGGACCATTAGTCGAACACCTTTTTATTTACTCTGTCCTTTTCTGGTCACTGTGTTCTTTAAAATTGACCACTCTGGTCTCTCACAAAACATTATGTTACCACAGAATAGTGTTGCAACATTGAAATTCCACAACAACAAAAAATTTACTGCCCCTGAAAATTTCATACCTTTCCGTGTCCTCTCACTGCCCTTTGTTTGGTTCAAGCATTTACTTCTGCTTCAATGGCAGTTCTTAAACAAGGACACTGTATGGGTCATCTGAGTTAGGTAGCATCACACACACACACACATACACATATTATTATTTGCAGACCTGAATGTGGAACAGCCAAAAGAGAAAGGGGTGGGTGGCCCCGTCACACGGTGGTGGAATCTACATGTCACCGAAAAGATTATTAGATGATTCTAAATCATTCATACTTGTTGGATCAGTTTAATTCAGATTTTTGGATTGAAAAAATGATCCCATAAGAATGTATTAATATATTACAAAGAAATCTCAACATTAATTTCTATTGAATTAATCCACCAAACATTAATTGGTCGAAGACCATTTAATAAGTGAGTTAGGCATGCCAAATGGCATATTTTACTCACCTAATCAAAAATCACCTTATTAACTTCTTTTTCAGCATTTCTAGATGATAAATTTTTACATGGCCAAGGAGTACGTGATTCTGGCCAATCACAATCTACACATAAGCAAAAAGTTGAATAAAGTTGATATATTTATTTGTGTGTCAGGTTGTAGTTGACCAGGACTATATAGATCCAGACAGGGTAAAAATTCTATTTTTACACATGGTACAACTTTGTTTTCCAACTAAACACATGCTAAACGACCTTAACAAGTGTCCATCCTTGTTAAGTTGTTAACCCACCAAATTTATCCTCGTCAATGTGTCAAAAATGTTGACAAGAAATTAAAATGATGGGGTTCTGGTTTGGTGACATAGTGTTTAGTGCACTCAATATTTTATGGATCCCACATCACCCTTTTTTTTGACTACTTGACAATATCGGACTCAAATGAGATTTGAGTATTCGAACTCTGTTAGAAGTATACATATATTTAATGTTTACTGCACAAGTTCATAATATTACTTCTAACAGAGTTCGAATACTCAATCTCCTCTTTCAGAAAAAAGAGATGTATAATTACTTTGCCTTAATGGAGGGAATTATCCTCTTAAGCACCAGCCTAAAAGGGTCTGAAACTATTATTTAGGATCAAGTGTAATGTCATACTTTTTATTCCCTTTCTCGACATCATCATTTTATAGGTTGAGTGTCTTTATTACTGATAATTATGTATATGTGGTAACTTCCTTTATAACTGCAATTACAAGTGTGGGTAGTTAGTTAAAAATGGTCTATTGTTTCAGTGACTAATTGATGGAATTTTTTTTGGAAGGTCTAATTGATGGAATTTTGATGACACCTAACTACCAAGATCCATAAGAGGATCTTTAGGTTCGTTCGAGCCTAGAGTCCTTCAAGAGTCACTTGTAGCTAGAACATAACTGTGGCATGTAAATTGGCAATAATGACTGCAATAACTCAAACATTGATAGGGATTCGGGAGGTAAGTTCTTAAAGTCTCGTTTTCGAATTGCACTCCTGACTTGAATGGTGCGTGTATTGTGCAGCTTATATACGTGCTCTAAAAAAAAAAAAAAAAAAAAAATACTCTCAGACATTGAGATCCCTTTTAATAATATTCTCACAAATAATAATTAATGTTGCGTTTGGGGCCAACGAATTGATACCCCGCTTGAAATTGAAATTAAAATAAATTTAGTTTAGACTTTAATTTACATTTTCTTTACTTTCGATTTCAAGGCGGTGGTTCGGGGCCTCTTAACATAGTATTTATCTTTTAGCATGTGTTATTAATCCTCATTATTAAGCAACAATAGATTAACTGTGTTTTTTTTATTTTTTATTATAACCCTCTCAACCACCAGCCCTTTTGGACACGTGGCTGCCAGGTATATCTCCGAATATGTGCAACCGCCTAGAAGTCACATTTATCGCAATGCTTTTACTTGACTTGTATATGCTACAGATGCTTACGTATATCACCGAGCATTATTTCTTTTACTTGTAGGTTGAAGGTTTAAGTTCCAATTAGGACAAAATGATTACATAAACATGTATGAGTTTGCCAATTACTTGTAATTATGACATATTTTGGGGCATATTTACAAAATATTAGTGGAATAATAAAAGTATAGATAAACCCTTTTGAATAGAATTTTTTTATATGTAGGTAACAGTTTTTTGAATTCGTAAGCTTTTCGTTTCACTAAACATATTTGTAACTGTGGGTGCCATTCTTGACTACTGGCCCTTGCTTAGCACGGCTTAGCAGGCCCAAGATATCTGTTTGATCCAATGTTTTATGGGCCTAAAAGATACTTGTCAAAACCATACTCAGATAAATCCTTTTACTCGATTTAGAATATTTTGGGCCGGCTCATTTCGGTTGGTCTAAAGAGGACATGAGGCGAGAGATAGGAGAAAAGTGCAAGTGAAGAGAAGAAAATAAGATTTGTTGATGAATATACTAAATTTACTGAATTATTTGAATATACTAAATTTAATTTTTTTATTTTTAAATTTTTTTATCGTGAAACAGGAAGGTCAAAAATCAAAATTCAAGTGCATCGTACTGAGCTCTTAAGCTTGCAAAATGGGGACGGTAAATAGAACAACTCATCACCCATATAATAAATATATGGGTGCACACCAATAACCGACTTCTCGTGATTCGAATGAAAATAGCGACTCGCGGGTAATAGGCTACCAACCCACCCATTTCTTAAATAGAGTATGGTTTTGATTTTTTGCCCTTTTGGAATTAGTTGAGATGGTAAAGGGGCTACGGATTTGCCCACTTTTTTCTTTTTTTCATTAATAAGAAATGCACACCACTTACACATTCGCTTGAGAATTCGAAACCTCAACATCCCTTTTAAGTATGGCTACAACTCGGGGAGGCCTAACCCGAAATTACCCCAGTCGAGCCCAAAATTTTGTGGGCTTAGACAATATTTTTCTAATTTTGGTTTGGGTTTGGGTTATATATTTTGAACTTAAATTCAATTATGGCTGGGCTTGGGTTGATACGGATGAAAACCGAAGCCCAACCCGAGCCCGAAAATATTATATATTCATAATTATGTTTAAGTAACAAGAGTGCAGTAATCAAGTTGGTAGTGTGCTTGAAATTTATGTTTAAGATTTTCATGTTCAAGTCATGTTGCAACATTAATTAATTTATTTTTTACACACAAATTATGTATGGGTTCGGCTTGGGCTTAAGGCGGGCTTGGATTAAATTTTTTTTATATAAGCCTAGCCCGAGATGAGTGCCAAGCCAGCTCAACCCGCGGAGTTGCAACCCTACTTTTAAGAGATATAAAACAGAAACAACCGGGTTTTGGCCCTTTTGGTATCAGTTGGGATCAAATAAAAATACAAAATTTAAAGATCACGAAATTTGGCGCGTCTTCTTTCTCCCCCCTCTCTTTCTCTCTCTCAAATCTCAAAGAAGTGTATGCAGCGCGGCGACTCACCATTTCTCGCCATAAGCTCCGACAATGGTTCTCCTCCGCCACCAACTCTCCTCCCGAAAAAGACCTTCCACCAAAGCCTTTGTTCCACCTTTTCCACCACAACCACCGTCATCGCCACCACCACCACCACCCAAAATCCCCAAATCCACCACTGCTGCCACCACCAAGAACGGCGACAACACCACTCATCAACTCCGAAAACCCGACGCCGCGTCGGCATCATCATCAGCACGAGAAACCCTAACGCCAGTAGACAAGATGGCGTCCGTGCTAGCAGACGCCGGGTGCACTCTGATCAACTCCGCCGGCCCTCCCTGCCTCCCCTCCGACACTCACAAGCTCCGCCACCACCTCCACCGCATCCTATCCTCCGACTCCTCTCTCCGCTCTGCCTTCCTCTCAGGCTTCTCCTCTTACATCAATTCCTCTGATAATCTCCACCGGTCAGTACTCAGTCCCCAATCACCACCTCTTCTCTTCCATTACATACTAACTTATCAATTTATCTCTCTCTCTCTATATATATATTTCTATAATTCACTAACCTTCTGTTTTCTCATTACAATTTTAGGGTTTTGATGTCTTCCATTACATGCTAACGTATCAATTTTTCTAACGTTTTTCGACAATTCACTAAACTTTTTTGTTTTCTCTTTACAATTTTAGGGTTTTGACATCTTCCATTAAATACTAACTTATCAATTTATCTAAAGTTTTTCGATAATTCACTAACCTTTTCTATTACATACTCATCAATTTATCTAGAGTTGTTCGATAATTCACTAACATTTTCTATTTTCTTTTTTACAATTTTAGGGTGTTGATCTCTTCAAATCGCCAAATTTCTGGTTCTGTGAGGAATGAGAGTCTGGTTAGAGTTCTCTTACTGGTGCATTCGATTCAACTAGACCTTCAGATCATGTTGCTCGAGAAGCTTCCGGAGTACTTCGACCTCACAACGTCCTCCCTTGATGAGGACGTTGCGAGGCTAATTGTGAACCAATTCCGGTGGCTTGATTTCCTTGTAGATTCTGATGCATTTACAGAGAAATTGTTGCAAGTGCTTTCTATTTGTCCTCTTCATTTGAAGAAAGAGATTATTGGGTCTTTGCCAGAGATAATTGGTGATAAGAACAATAAGCCCATTGTTGATTCTCTTGAACAGATGCTTCAGGAGGACTCGGCCATTATTGTGCCCATCCTTGACTCTTTCTCCAACCTCAACTTGGATGATCAGTTGCGCGAGCAGGTTTTTCGGCTCTTGTATAATACAATCTGTGGCAAATATTTGATTCATAGTCTATTAGAGTAGTACTAAATTTCTTTAGTTTTCAATTATTTATTATTTTTTTGAAGGTGATTATGATGGCTTTATCGTGCCTTAGAACAATTGATGCTGAGCACATGCCATACCTACTCAGATTCTTACTGCTTTCTGCAACACCAACAAATGGTCGAAGAATAATCTCACAAATCCGTGAACAAATAAAATTTATTGGTGCACCAAGTATTCGTGTGACGCAGCACAATAAACTTAAGGGAAAATTGCCTGTGGATAATGGAGAGGCTTCAATTCTTGATGCTTTGAGATCTAGTCTTCGGTTTAAGAATGTAAGTCACCGTACCTCATATATATTGCTTGTCTGAAGTTGTTTGGTGTATAAATTGAATGCGCTTATAATGCTTATTTATATGCTACTATCTACAGATGCTTTGTCAGGAGATATTGAAAGAATTGAAATGCCTTGAGAAAGGTCGCGATCATAAAGTGATTGATATATGGCTGCTTATTCTCGTTTACATGAACGGCGAGTCTCTACAAAAGAGTGTTGAAAAGATATTCAAGAAGAAAATAATTGATGGTTGTATTCAGGATATTATATTTGAACAGTGCATATGTGGAAATAAGGAATTGGTACAGGTACTGTGTTTATGATGTTTCGCTGCAATAAAGGAATGGTTAAACATTCACAAAACATGAAATACAATTGATTTTTAATTGTTTAATTGATCTAAATTAGGATTATTTCCCCTCGTTTCTATCGTTGACCGAGTACTTAATGGCATGCAAAGAACAAAAAGCAAGGGAATTTGGAATTCACATGTATACATCTCTATTCAAAGAACTTGGTGATACTTATTCGAGACAAGAAGTAAGTTACCCATACAATGTCTTTACCAGATGATTATAGTATCTGATTTTAAGGGGGATAATTGCAGGCAAAGAACCCCCAATTAATTGTGGTTATTATGCAGGTTCTAGGTGCATTAGTCACTCATGTGAGTTCTGGTGTTAGTTTCGAAGTCAGTTCTGCTTTGGAGACCCTGGTTCTGTTGGCCTCTAAGTATGCACAGGAGATGATTCCACTTTCTTCTCATATAAGTGGTATGATCTCTGTTTCTAATTTATAGAAGCAATTCATCGCATGGCTTAAGTTTTTATGATGGCATTTCTCTTTGAACTATTCAGGTATCTTGGATTACTTGGAGGGGTTTGATGTTGAGAACCTTCACAAGGTTACTACTCTTTCTTGATTTAAACTATTATGTATAGGATAACTCAAGCAGTTCACAAATACCTACTCCTTCAGAGGTGTTACTCATGGTGCAGGTCTATGAAGTTTTCAGCCTTCTGGCACAGTCAGCTCGATCTAGTACAGAGTCATTTGGATCTTCCATTACAAATGAACTTTTGATGATTGTCCGGAAGCAGGTAAATTGAATTTTTCATTGTACTTTGGAGCCTTACTGCAGTTTGATTTGAAACTCACTTATATTTATTAATTTTTAACATGATCCTTTCTTCATGTTTGGTTGTCGTTAGCTTGTATTGCATAATTTCTGTGACAGTAATTGCCTGTCTTGAACTACCCTTTCAACTGGGCAGGTCTGCAATCCTGATTTGAAGTACAAGAGGATGGGCTTAATTGGAACTCTTAAAATGGTTTCTTGTCTTGGGGATGCGAACAATACAGCCTGTCCGTCGTCATCTCAGGTAGAGTCCTGTGTCATTTCATTTCTATATTATTCAAGATGGGAGACACCTGGTGGTAAATATAAGTATCTAGTTTCTGCTGACCTTATTCAGATCATAGAATCCATAAATCTTTTCATGTTTACATTTTTGTAAGGTTCTAAGCAGAATTCTAATTTAATAGCAGGCTATAACTATGTATTTCTCCCTTAATAATACAAGAATACTTCTAAGCATGTGTATACATGTATGTAATATGTAAAAATTGTTAAAAACTTTGGGGACTTCAGAAAAGCTTAATTTAGGAAAATGCTGAAGAAACTTGCTGAACTTCCTAAGGAAGAGATATTGAAATAGAAGGAAGAGCCTGGAATGTTGCTTTCAAATGTAAACTCTATTACATAAGCGATGAGATTTCAGCCTAGAGTTAGACAGTACAAGAATTTTAAGAGCTGATGATAAAAATGTGGGGGGAAAAAAACCGACATTTTTTTTTGTTGATGTTCATTATTCATGTTATAAGTATGAAAATGATTCATTCAGTGATTGAATTTCAGTTGTTGGATAATGATATCTGATATTTGAATGGTTGACATGTAATATATTTATTTGTTTTTTGTTTTTTTGTTTTTGGGTAAGATATCAGCAATGTCCACAATTGGGCTATATCTTCCCACACACCTTTGATGAAGGCAGGATAATCTGGGAAAAGGTTCCAGGTTTCTGTGATGACTATTTAAGAGTAATCTAGATCTCTTGAAGTGATTGAGGTAGATAATTGGAGGTGCTAAATTGCTAATAAGGTTGTAAACTTATTATCTAGTGAAGCTACACAACATAATGAATTAATTCCCTTTAAAAAAGTGTCAATTGTGGTGGGGTTTGTAGCAAGAGAGGAATAGGAGGTCTTTTGATGGTGATGGAGACTCCTATTTGGGTGCTAAAACATTCCATCTTGAATTCCGTATTTTTTGGGTTAATGAGTGGTATTGTAAATCTTTGGAGGACTTCGTGGATAGATTGAGAGATAGTAGGCCTTTTGAACAGTTGTGTAATGAAATTTTGTTACAAAAAATGTCAATACTTGTTTATGCCTTGCGTGGATTTTCATGATAATTGGTACGCTGAAGTTGTTTGAAGGTTTGAACATGACATGGCCATTTCTAACCTTTGTAATTGAGAGAACTTCGTTAACTTCCATCTCAGGACATTTTTCTATGAAGGTATTTGAACAATTGACGTCATTGAATAAATGATGAAGTAAGTATTGCTGCCCTAATGTGTCAAAATTAAATAAAACAGAGTCAAATCAATTAGAAGTGACAACACTTAAATGCTCCAATATGATTTACTTCACTTTTCTTGCCACCAATATTCAAGTATTCAACTGTCGGCTTTTTCTTTCCTAATGAGAACATTCGAATGCCTAAATGAGACCAGTGATTTGATTAGGTAATTGGAGATTTTATTGTTCTATCTCTGGAGAAAAAGAGGCTTTTAACGACTGCCAACGAGAAGTAAATGAGCATCTTTAAATTCTCTTAAAAAGAACTATTGCTTAAAATTTTACAAATGATTGCAAGAGGCTTGATAAGATAAAATGATTGAATCTTTGAGTGGTAAAATCGCAACTATAAACATTTTTATAAAAAATAGCTGCTAGTGATATTTTCTTGAGAATTATAGAGTTGAGACGTCCTCGTTAGGAGGGGGAGTGTTGATGGGTGTTGGTTCGAAGCATTGTGCCCTTATGGTGGGTGAAAAGTAACCATTGAGAATCTGAGAAAAGTTATTTGAAGTTATGCACATGTTCTGATGCTCACACCACCTTCTGCATCTTGGGATATTATCTACATGTCTTCAAAAAAATTTAGTTTTCAGTTGGATGGGTGATTTCAAGATGATGGAATTTTTACAAATATATAGAAGGATTAGCTAGAGTTGAATTGGGAGGGATGAGGATATTCTCCATTACTTTTTCTCTCAAGTACTTCTTGATGCATGATTCAATGATTCACAACACTCCATGTCAGTTGATTAATTTTTATTTTTGTTTTCTCAGAATGAGACAATGTTATCACGGGATAGGGGAGAGAAAAAGTAATGGAAATGATACTCATCCGAATTGGGAGACCTAAGATGAAGGATAGATTAAAGTTATGGAAGGTTTATGTTGTTATGATCCCTTTGTAGTTCAAATCCTTCTTGGGATGGATTTCGAATTACTCATTCAGTTATTTCAGATCTACCTATAAAATTTTCTATCTGTGCATTTTTTGAAATTCACATCTTAGTATTAAATCTAAATCTACACTATAGTTCTTAAATGATTGAATCCAAACTTGTTTATTTAAAATAACTCAATCAAAACTCAATCTTAGTGTAAAATCATCTTACCTTTTGCCATTTATTCAAGTCGGTAACAACATATAACTCTGGAATTTCAAAATCTATTTTCCCAACTTTTTATGTAAATATATGTTGAACTGGTAGAATATGATGATAGATTGGAAGATGCAACGGTGATCCAAAATTTGATGTTCTTAGTAAAGGGTTGTAGCCTTAGTCTATAACACAGACTGGTGAACTGCTTTCAGAATAGCAAGCAATACAAGAAACCTGGTAACTGAGGAGTGAGGGCCATACCTGTGCTGTCACTGAAGAGAATTTGAGCCACCTGTTTCCATGACTGCAGATCACTCTTGGTGTTCTAATCATGTTGTTCTTTGAAAAGAACTTCAAATCAGTTTGAAATGGTCATAGCAGTTTGTAGTGTGAAAAAAAAAAAAAAACAGAGAGGAGAAAATTTAATCCCTTGGAAAGCGTGCATACAAGTCAACTTGTAGTGTTTAATCTGGTAAAGAGGAAGAGAAGGATATCATATATTTTTGTAAGTAGAAGAGAGAGAACAGACTCATTAGAGATTCAATTTGTGGAACCAAAACAATATCCTGCAAGAACAGAACAATTTGAAAGAGATAGTAAGATTCTTTGTCAATGCTCCAGAAAAGTACTCAAGGCAAGCTTTTCAATGTTAAAATTGATTACGAAGAAGGTTCTTAATGGTAGAAGCAGATAATACTCAAGCATAATTGGAACTGTTAAATCTGAGAATGCTAAAGATGAGGAAATAAGAAAAAGACAGGTACAATCCTGCAAGCATGCATGCTTCCCTATATCGTTTCTTCACTGCCCTGGTTCGGCATGATAATTTACCCATTTGTGTTCTATATTTTACATATGGTACTATAGTAGAGTATGTTAACTCCCTGACTCACCTTTTATATTCCAGATTTGCCTAATTTTATAGTAATCATGTTGTTGCTGGGCTTGAAGAGTGTTGAGGATAAAATATGTTCTCCAAGAAGTTTAGAAAGCTAATTAATATGTGGCACATTCAGAACCGTTAATTACTGCATAGAAGTTTTCTATGCTGTCTTTTAACGCTCCTAAAATGTTTCAAATTATAATGCACTTATGTAGACTGTTTTAAAAATTATCTGCCATATGTGTATTGCAAAAGGTCCACATTCTGATTGACGCTAGTTGAATGCTGAGGGATGCATGTTTTGTTGGCACAAATTATTTAAGCTCATGTCTGTCAGATTCTGCTTGCTAAGCCATTAGATTTTGTTCCTATATGCTAATGCTTTTCATATGCTCTTGCGATTCATTTTTACTGTTCCCTGAAATTTTCTCTGAAGAAATCGAACTATGAGGAGGCTCTGGAACTCCTGAAAACATCTCTGGATTCTTGCAAGCAGTTGCCATTACCATTGATCCTATTTTATGATGAACTAATTGCCATGTTGGAATGCAGAACTCTTCATCCAGCAATCATGGAATGGTGAGTGATATGATTGAAGCTAAACAAACTTTTACCTGTAATCTTAAGCTTGTTTGTTTTGTAGGATTGGCAAACACGTAGGAGAGTTTGAATCAATGTTTCTATCTGATCTAGAAGGTGGGCAATTGCCTGTTAAGGACTCATATTGTGGTCTAGAAGGTGAGTTTTAATGATGCAATTCAAAGTTACTACTTGTTAGATGTGGCTTTCAATCAAGTTGCAAACAACTAAAGTTCTTATCATTGTTTTCAATGTAGGGGAACTATGGATGAACTTGGATGGTGATATTTCTCCAATTTGTGTGAACATTTTGCCATTGGTTTCCTTATCATTGCAGTAATGTTTTGGCTATTCTTACTTACCTAGAATTTTTTTTTTTTTGGCTATTCTCTTTGATTTCGTGATTTTGGTCAAGAAATTGGAATTAAAGGGTCATTTCGAGTGTGATCCCCGTTACTCATAGTGTTGGGAGGGGTACAACGGAATAGACGTAAACATTGGCATTATTTGTATAAAGTGGTTGCTCTCAGTACTCGAACTTGCTTTCTCATGCTTGAAAACCCAAGCATTTACGAATCACCAAGCAATGACTCTGAAACACTCTATGGTTTGTCACATCAAAGGAAATGAAGAGAAAAGAAAGGAAGGAAAGGCATGATCATTTTTCATGAGTTTCCTTTTGAAGTGGAAGTATAGGGAAAGCAGGTGAAAGAAATAGATGGGACTTGTGTAAGCTTTATATAGATGCCTTGTGTTTAGATATTGTACAGTTATGTACTTCTATATGGATCATTCTGCATGACCTTACATTTGGAGTGATAGTTGTGGTTGGCCTGGAGATAGTTTTTTCTCCCTTATTGTTCCACTTCTCTTCTTTTTCCTTCTCTTGATGAACCCTTTTGTGAAAGAAAAGGATTTTGGGGAAAAAAAAAAAATTTGTTTTTCACAAATCAATGATGAACTACTCACCCTCCCCAAGGGGGGAAGGGGTGGATGGTTATGTTGGTGAACACAGGATTATATACTTGGTATAATAGCTGTAAGGAAGGGTTACTAGAGGCAGTGGTTGTGCTGGCTTGTATTCTTTTGAATGGTGGTGATTTGGTGTTGAAACTGTTGATTTTTCAATAGATGTGATATGGTGATAACAGAAGGATTGTCAAGGTGGTAACGGAAATAACCGTATAAACATTGAGATTGGGGTGGTGACAAACTGCTAAAATTTGTGAGAAATTAGTGAGGGCCGTTGTGTTGTTCAACGATAAGACGCGACGTAAGTGCCAATGGTGCGATTTCAAGCCTTAGAGCATCCACTTTGTGAAATACTAAACATAAGGTCTTCTCTAGTCCTTACTCTTAGGACCTTGCCATGGCGGGAGCCGCGGGACCAAAATTGGGTTGAACCCTTTTGTGGGAAATTAGTGGGGCCAGTTATGGACAGCTGGAGGCAGAGACAATGAAAATAGCATTGCTGATTGTGGTGACTAGAGGTTGTAACTGATGAATGAGGTGGTTGTAGCAAAAAATTTGTTTAGAGAAGTAACATGGTGGTGATGGCAGTGGCCAAGTTAGTGTATTGATGTCAATGGTGGATGCGATAGAAATTGTTTCGAGTATTGGCTTATATGGTTGTGAGCCACCTTTTAGTTTACTTATTGATTAATATTGTGACAAATTACTTGGTGTGGATTATAAGCTTGAAACCAACTTCCTCAAGTTTGTTTTCATTTATTTTGATGTCAATTTTAAGACTGTTAGTGAACTTTTAAGCTAGACATACCACTTCTTTGGGCTAAGAGTTATATTATATTTTAAGGTACTATAGCATTAAATTCTGTTTTTTTACCTTCGAGATCTTTTCTTTTTGAGTTCTGATACATTGATATAGCAATTTAGAATAAATATTTTCCTGATTGATTAGGCTGTATGTTGTCCTTCAGCATTTTTGTCGTCTCTTCACTAGTTGTAGGTATGTACTTTAGTTTACTTAAAATTTATTAAAATGCTAAATGAACCTAGTCTTGTGTGAAGAACTTGCGCATTACTTTTTAAATTTCTGGTATGTTATTATCTCTATATTATTAATTAACAATATTTACATATTCAAATATTTGATATATTCTGTTTTTTTCAGTACTTAATTTAAATTGCATCATCACTGAAAATTTAGTAATATTTACTGCTGATAGCAGCAAAAAAACAATTTCAATACCCACAATAAATCTTGTAGTATGACGACTGAAATTCACTAATATAATTGGAAACAGAAAAGAATGTGGATGGGAGAATTAAAACTTGGGTAAAAGCACGTGTCCCTGAGGTCTATAGAAGTTTGCCAGCTGACAAAAGAAAATACAGCTGTGGTTTTAACTTCTGTCATGCTGCAGCAGACGCTTCTAAGGCTGCATTTTGAAGTCACATCCAATACAATGGCGTAAGCCATGGAATGATAGTGGTGATGACAACGGTGGCGGTGTTGGTGAAGAGGGGTGGTTAGAAAGATGATATGGTTTTGTTGATATGGTAGTTTATAAGTGGTGATCTCCCCTTCCCCCTTTCTCCTACACTTCTCTCTCTCTTAAGATCTGTTCCTCTTAACTTGAATTTTGTTTTTTGATTTGTGGGGAATTTCCAGTTGTTTTTGGAAGGTGGGACTCCACCACAAACTAGAAATTAACAGCCTCATTTCTTATTCCCAAACACTTCATCTAATTATTTGAACCAAACAATTCATCTAATTGTTTTATATTTTTGTCTTCTGTCAGTGCCTATGACTTCTGAAGTTTGTATCTTTGTCTCATGCAGATCTGCTTCATCCTTACAAATTCTTCCTCCTAAATTTCTTCTACTATCCGTGGTAAGTGCGTGGTCCCTTATACATAGGAAAGATATAAGTGATGGCATTAATCTTTGGATTTTGCTATGTATTCTTTGTCAGATTGAGAGGTTGGCAAATCAGGGATCTCTTGGGGGAATTGATGCACTGCTAGGCTGCCCTTTACACCTTCCTTCCTCTAAGGTGAAATATTTTGGGTGCACTTGTTAACTTCATAAATTTGTCTTTGTCCCTTCATGTGCCATAGTTCAGTGGTGCGTTAACATTTGACCAACATTTGCAAAACAATTCAACTCTTTCACATTCTGTATTGTCGAAAACTTCAATTTCATTTACATTTCATCAGTTCAGAGATGTAGTTAATTAATATACATTTATTAAGGCTGTGAAAGCTAGAAAGAACATCATTTGCTGTTATACCTTGAAACCCAGCACCCTGCAATTTGATTGTAAAGATATATATATATATGTATATATATATATATATATGTATGTATGTATGTATGTATAATTCCTCAGCTTGGGCCAGATATGTTGTTATGACGATCGCTTGCAACATGGTCTAATTTTTTATTGCTTTTGGTATGTTACCATATTTAAATACACAGTAGGGTATTTTTTCTTCTACATGCTGGCTTCCCCTTTTTCCTTTTTGATCAGGTAAGCACTCACACATACTGCCAATATTGGGGCTCGAATCCCTCCCCTCCTCTTTGAGGGTATGGAGGTTATACCATTGGGCTAATGGGCCCATTGGTACATACTGGCTTCACTTTTAAAACAGAAAATATTATTTTATTTTCAAACCTTAGCCTAAACTTCCAATCTTCAGCATAAATGAGAGGGCAAAAAGAAATCCCATGCCATCCAGAGAAGCATATAAAGCTTTTTAAAAAATTCATTTTCCTTGTAGATTATTCATTATTGATAACCAACCTGGTTGGTAACCAACTTCCAAATTTTAGAACATTGGTTTTTCTAGTATAAATTGGAAAATCCTTCGTTCTTCCTCTTTACTTTTTTCTTTCCTTTTGTGGTTTTGGTTTATTCCATCTGATATTCTGATATGCAAATTCGATTTCTAGATTCAAGTTTTCAAATTCATTATATTTTAATCTCACTTAAAATAATGAAATCTGATGAAATGTAGCATGTTGAAGTGAAGGCATTTTATTTTATTTTATTTTTTGTTGATATCTCAGTTTAAAAATTCCTTTTGTAAGCTCTTTATTCATCAAGCAGTGACATCGTGTCAAACTGGTAAAAGCAATGGTTTTGTAAGACTGGGTATTTTAAAGATATATTGGTAATCATGGAGAGGTGATTCTTGTTCACAGTGGTTGGGAATAATGGGAAAAAGACAAATTGGAAAAGATTAAAACAGAATGTTGGAAAGAGGGCAGAGGCATCATATGGATTGTAGCAGCCTTCCGCCTTACCAAATTGTCATTTCTGTTGATGCATCACCATGTTTATTACTGTCTCTGCATGTACCAGTAGCTGGAATATTTGTCAGGCATGCTAAGCCTCCACAATTCTCCTTTTTTGACTTTCTGGTTGAGGCATAGGTTGAGCTCTAGAGCAACACATCTACTCTTTTACTAGCCTCACCTCAACTAGCCCTTTATCTAAGCTACCATGCCTCAAAAGACAAAATTTCTCATGAGGGACCATGTTGTAGGACTACCGTGTCCTACAACATGGTTGCAATGGTTATGATGTTGTGTGCACATTAAAACACCCTGGCCTAAAGTTCATATATGGAGGTTGTCCTTGGGGCGATCCCTTTGTCATTACGATCTGCGGTTGTCGTCTATTGCGCACTCCAAAGATGAGCATCCCTTGTGCTCTTTAAGCCGGACCACAATTATGCCACGACAATTTCAGGGCCCCGAGGTGACACTGACCCTCTACGTGATTGTTCTCTTGGGGGCCATGTCGCCATGCAAAGCGCCCAAGGCTGCAACATTAGTGGCATACTGTGATATTGGGGTTTTAACATGGGAATAATTCCTTGCAACATAACTGCATACCTTGTCTCCCAATGCAACTTCATTCCTATAAGAATGTCACTTGAGTGCTATTTGATAAAATTGAAAATTAAGTACCAACAATTATAACAACTGAATTTTAAATGCTGAAGCTTTTAAGTACTAACTGTAAATTGAGTTCTTTGGTAGGTTTTGGATTTTAAGTGTTAAAAGTCACCATCACTTAGTATTTTACCCCATTTTAACTGCAATTATTTTAAGTGATATCCAAACTGAGATATCAAATGCTTAATTGGATAAACACTTAGGTATTGTTTGATAACCCAATTTAGTATTTAATTATGAATATATTTAGTATTATTTAATTAAAGTGTGTTTGATAACGCAATGTGGATACCACTTAAAAGAATAAGTGCCACTTAAAATAGGGTAAAATTGTAAGTGATGGACTTCACTTACCATTGAACACTTGAAATTCAATGAAGTATCAAAACAATTCTTAATTGATAGCTAGCACTTAAAATTCAACTCTTAAAATTTTCAATTTTATCAAACAACACCGTAATCCATTTAGTATTACGTACTGAATTGGAACATCTTACTGTTTTCACCCTTCATTTTAAAAATCAAATTTCCTCCCACAAGTTCCTGAACTTTTAGGTATTTTGTCTTTGTTGAAATTTTTTGGACCTAAACAAGTTACTTGAACCACCACTGAGAAAATTTCTTTTGTTAGTTAGCATTTAGTGATTTATGGTCTCAGTTTGATCCCTGTTCATGTAGAAAGGATGAAATTGCAAATATATATACATATATATGTGTTGGAAGGACAGAACTAATCCCCCTTTGAAGTAAATAGTACCCTAGTGATATGGTAACTTCTGTTTGAAAATTGTCTCTTTTTTTTTTTTCCTTCCTTTTTTGCTTATTTTTTTTAAGGGAAGGAGAAGGGGGGTTAGTTGGCCCCAGCTCCACTTTACATGGTTGCTTCGACATTTACAAGTTTGCCATGATTTGATGACATTAACATGCTTATGTGATTTGGATTTTCTTCTTTTGACATGGCATGTCAAAAACATACCATATGCGCTAACACGTCTTTGGCTTGTTAAATGTCAGATATTCTCTGAGCTGGTCTGGCAGCCTTTAACTGGGAAGCAGAAGCAAATTGTTTGTCTCTCTCTCTATTATGCAGCAAATTGGCTACGAGAGCTGGTAAACATTGATGCTCGATGTTGTCACCCACATGGCTGAGGTGTGTTATAATCAGATGTCCTGTATGATATCTAACATTATTGATGCTGTTTGTAGCTTAATGCATTCTGTACACAAGTTGCTGGAAGATTTGACTGTACAAGTCAAGCAACAAAGGAGGAAATTATTACCAAGCTTTTGAAGCGTTTGAGAAACCTTGTGTATGTTTTAATGATATTTCTTCCTTCATTTTACTTTTCTTTTCCTTTTCTATTTTTCTTTTCCAATTAGTTATGCGTAAATTAACTCATCAAAATTTCAACAATCAACATGTACCATCCTTTGGGGATAATAATTTGTCTAACAATTTTGGGGTAGTGGATGATAACAAAAACATAAGTGCATAATTTTTGCATATGGCTTGTCATTTTTGGGGATATACTGACATTTCTATGTCCTGAGACTTAATATTATATCCATTATAATGTGTCTCATCCTGATTATTCTTCTGAAATTGCTACTCGCTCACATAGTTGATATTAGATCTACGACTAAAGTGAAAACTCACTCACTAAAATCATTTGACACATCTTCAAATATTATCTCAAAATTCATTGCCTAGGGTGCAAGAAAGGAAATGTGCCAATGCTCTGGCAATACTTTGGGATATTTTATGTAATATCTTTTAGTTGTCCAAAAATACCCTTGAACAATAGACATCCAAAAACTGCCAGAGTTTGGAGAGAGGCTCCCTGCCAGTTCTATACACATTATCTGTCATCTAAAATGTAAAGAACTCAAATTAAGTGGATGGATCCACAAAGAGATTGTTCAACAATATCTAGATGTTGGCTCCTCTGTTATATTCACTTTGGTTTATACTATGGCAGTCCTCTTATATGGTTGTCAACCATGTTCACCTCTGCTCTCTTCTTTTTTCTTCCTTGTTTTATTTTAATTTTATATTGATTGATATTCATTCATAATTAAGAAACTTATGTTATTGTATCCTTAACACATTTAATAATATAAAAAAGGCACTCCAACTGCAAATTTATCTATAGAAGGTTCTAATAAGATAAATAATTACTTCTAAGATGCTTTCTTCTCAAATTGCCTATTGAAGAAGGGACATCACCTGAATATTATACATACATAAATTACATATTTTTAAATGAATATTTTTTATTATAGACATCTTTTTAAACATTTTCTCATAAAATATATTGTTTTATTGCAAAATCTTGATGTTGGCTGTTACTTATACAGATTATGTATGTCTCACGTATATGCATTTTGACATGTGTGGGTGTTTGCATGTGGGTATTTCTCACCCACTCCTGCTATAAAATGTAATGAGGTGTTCATTGGCATCAAAGTGATCAAACTGCCAATCAAAGTCCTGAACTAAAACTTGATGAGTCCTACTTTGGTTTCTGGAAGGTATTGCAAAACAAAAAAATGCTTTCCTTAGCCAAGATTTGTGTTAGGAATTATTTTCCTTTTGAGGGTAGTATTGTCTTTTCTTTTTACTAGTCAATTCTTTAGGGCATTATATATTCTTTGTATACTGTATTTTCATAAGCATGACTGAATAATCGAGTACATATTGGTATATCTTTCCTTCTTCTCTGTGCAAATTATCACTTTGAATCCTTTATTATGGCTGTCTGGCTCATGGATGGTTAATTAGTCACGTCACCTAGTAAAATTTTTGAATCAAAGAAAATTTCTTATAAAAATATTGAAAGTAGAGGTCATTGCATGGGACATGTCCAATCCCTGTATAAATTTAGGGATAAATTCATTCAGTCCGTAGTCAGAATCTATAATCTACATAGCCTTGTGATAAATAATATATTTGAGCCACTTGCCTCCTTTTACACATTTGGACCATTTATGGTTTAAATGTGTTGCAGTTATAAATGAATAACATAGTTGAAAACCCTATATTTTTCTTTTTCCTTTCTTTTCCCTATTGTACATAACTCAAATCAATTCTTGAAATCCTGGTCCCAAAACTTTGGGTCAACTACACTTTCTTTAGTGCATATGCCTTAAACTTTGGTTCAACTACACATTCTTTAGTGCATATTCCTGTTTTACTTTAGTGCATATGCCTTAAATCAGATTATTTTTGTTGTTGTCATTATCATTGTTTCATATGAAAAAACTACCTGAGCAAACTTTGTCTTATCTTTAGTTGGTGCAAATGCCCAACTTTTCTCATGAATGAATGCATTTTATGTTATTTTATTTTATTGCATTTCAACTTATATCATCATAAATTGACATTGTACTTTTATTATTTGAAGATGTATTTTTGACATTCTTGTTTATATTTTAGTGCCTGCGCCTTAAATCAGATTACTTTTGTTGGTGTTGTCATATATATATATATTTGTTTTGTATGACACAACTACCTGAGAAAATTTTCTTATCTTTAGTTGGTGCAATGCCTAACTTTTCTCATGAATTAAAGCATTTTAATTTTATTTTTTTGGGCATTTTAACTAATATGATCATAAGTTGACATCCTACTTTTAGTAACTCCTTCATTTAAAGATGTATTTCTCTACTCCCGTGTCTCCTCCTCCTCACCCCCACCCGGAAAAAAAAAATCCATCACCATGAAGAAACTTTAGTCTCTACATGGAAGGCTACAATATGACATGATATGCTTAAGTTTCTAGCTTACAAGAGTTTTAATGTAGTTTACATCTATGCTGTCAGTAACTAGTAATATCTTTGTCAACGGTTTTGGGTATAGGTTCTTGGTTTAAAACTCTCTCTCTTCCTTAAAGAAACCAGCTGAAAGAACTATGGAAAAGGGCATTGAGAACACTTCTAGAGGGCCAACTGTAATGTTGATAATATCAGGAAAGAGTGTGTGTGAGAGAGAGAGAGAGAGCTAGGGTTTGGGGGTTGAAACTTGTAATCTCATGTTTTTTTCGCATAGTGAAATCTTTCGCCGGATTTTCATCGTGGACGTAGGCTTTGCCAAACCACGTAAATTTTCTGTTCTCTGTGTGCGGCACGTTTACTTTACTGTTGCGATTCTTGGTTTGTGGTGTTTGTCATTGCACCACCTCATTTAATTGTGCTGATGCTGCACATTCTAAAACATATTTTTGTTGGAGCTTCTTGTTGTCCAAACAAGTAATGGAATTTGATGTCATGTTTAAAAATATTTAAACATCTCTAAGATGAACAAAATTGTTGTACCTTCTAAGAATCATGACTAGGTTTCTCTCCTTAAACTCGGACAACCTAGGACTAGAAAATTAAAGATAACTGGATTGCTGGAGTTGGAGAGTTGATGTATTTTTTATGTTTATGCAGGCTTCTAATCCTCTCTCTCTCTCTCTCTCTGTCTTCTTCTTTATCAACCTTACACAACTGTTACTCAATTTTCATTGTAGATTACTTTGAATCTCTGAGTTGGCATATGATTTTAACTTTATAAAGCATAAACATCTCAAGACTTCTTCATATATGTGCTGATGCGAATAATTTAACATTGCAGGTTTCTGGAAAACTTGCTGAACAGTTCTCTTAAATTGTATCCTCTGTCTCTACCTGAGCTCTACCCCCATGTTGAGCATCCTACATCTTCATTCTTAAGCCATCCTAAATATATGGGGAATGTTGAAAAAAAAGGCAAGCATATGAAACGAAATGAGAGCTCCTCCCAGAACAAGATGAAAAATAGAAAGACCTCAAAGGCATCAACAAGTTCAGATGTTGACGGAAAACTCAGGCAGCCAACAATTCTGGATGTTTTGAGGAAAGCGGGTGCCATAACAAGCCAGGGAGTGCCAAATGAAGATATAGCTGTCTTGTCCTCTAAGGGTAGCGCATCCGAATCAGCAGGGAATTGTGTTAATGAATCTATTGGGCCTCTGAATGTGGAGGCTTCTTCAGCTGCTAAGGTTTTAGAAGCACAAAGATACAAATTCAGGCCTCTTCTGGTTGACTGCTTTACTATTTTGACATTTTCAAAGGTATCTATGGCTAGTCTACAGTATAAACAATCAATCCTTTACTGTATGAGCATGCTGTTGCGCATCCAATGGAATTACAATTACATTATGCTTCGTCACTGTTACAGAACAGTAATGAAACTCAACATCCGTTATGCTCTGTCACTGTTACAGAATGGATGATATCCATTTGAATCTTATTTCTCCCTTGTACATTGGTGACTATCAATTTCTAGAGACGAGGAATCACTTTTAACTATGATGAGACCACAAGTAGGTAGTAGCCTAAGTGGAGATCCAAGCTGTCACAAAAGGTACTTGAGGGTGCTCAAAGACACAGAGAAAGGGGCAATTTCTTGTACTCTCCCTGAAGGCTAAGTAGAGTTACATAGTCTTAGGATTTCTCTCTATCTTGGTAGTAGTAGTTTTTTTAATTGACTTATTCACTCCTTTTATAATACTTTGCCACCGGGTAAAGTCTGCGGGACATGAGGGATACCTGCTACTTATTAACTAGTGGTACTAGGAGGAGATTGAGGTGGAGACCGTCTGTCTAGCTCATTAGGTTTAGGGGAGGGGACATGCATATAATGCGCTTGTGACCAGGAGAATATACATTAAATGCGAGGCCCTCTAGATCATTGTTCTCTCCCTTCCTTTTTGGGAAATTACCTCTCTTCTTTTGTGACAGGCTGAAGAATGCCAACAGCCCGTGCTCCGTGGTAGCAGCTCTTCAATTATCCTTGGACCTTAGCCACCAGACCTACATCGGGGTCCTATTATGAGAATGCTACCCCGAGGCTTTGCCCCCGCACGTCAACATTTCTTCCTAGAGGTTTATTCAAAGGGAGGTACTCCTTGGGGGCTTTTAGTTCTTCCTCTCTAGATTTATTTACTTCCTTGGGGCTTATCCTTAAAGAGGAAGTCCTCATATTCATTTGGCCAACATGGGGGCTTATCAACAGAGAGAAGGATTCATGAAAGGAGGGCCCAGAGGATCCTCATATGGAGCTTCATCCTTCGTTGTGGTTGCACCCGTTGCACTCATAAGAAGATAGATTAGAGTAGTTGAGTGTATTGGACTCCCCTTGAGGACAGCCTCGGGCACACCTATAGGTGTGGCCAAGCTTATTCCTCAGTCTTAGGTCCCATGGCGGGTCCGGTGAAATCACCAGTATCCTTGTTGACTAGTTGTTAATGAGCTGGCTTAGTCAATGCCACGTGGCCGTGGTCTAACTTAGGATTGTTGGACTAGGAACCGACAACACCCGTTTGATATCAAGGCAAGGATATGGAGATCATGGTTTTCATTGGGGGTGTAACCGGATCAAAACTTTGACAATCCACTAAATAACTGCTAATATGTTACTGAACAGTCGATATTTCATACCATGCTCTGCCCTTATTCTCAAAATCTCTATCAAATCAAATATTTCAGATCTTTTTTTGCTGGGGTAGCGACGCACACAAACTTGTAATTAGAGCAGCAGCATGAATGTAGTGTCCGGGGGGATAGTTAAGCAGTTGTAGTTGACAACAGAATGGCATCCTAGATTAAACACGACAATAACAGATTCATCCCTTCACCAAGTTTCTGGAAACTGCATTATATTGATTTTGTTTTCCTTTATTTATTTATTTGTTTGTGCTAAAGTTGATTAATTTGATCAGAGTTAAAAGTCGTCTAATGTATCTCTTCTTCACATGCAGAATCAAGATTCTTGTTGCCCAGATCCTGCAGCTGAGGTATAATTTTTACTTCTTGCATATTGTACCTGATGAATTTAACTTTGCAAAGAAACACATTTTTTTTTCTTTCTTTCTAAATGTGGCAGTTGATGAGTCCAAATTTGAGAATAAGCAATGTATATTTGGTTTGATCAATTTTTGTTTCTTGTTTTAGCTACCCCTTCACTTGTACCTCCTACGTGATCTTCATTACAAGCTGGATTGCTTTAGTCCTCCAAGCAAACAATTTTCAGGCCGATGCCTAAGCACTCCGCCTGGTTTCAGCAGGATGACATCAAATGAATTCTTAAGGGCAATTCAACCACTGTTTCCAAGCCTCAAAAAAAATCTCAATTGTGCAATCTGTATCCTTAAGGAAGGTACAGTGAAAGCGTATAATTTGGGTGGATAAACTTTGCGATAGTGCTTCATAGTTGTAGATGTCTTATATCAACTACTTGTAGGTGCTGAATCGTGTCAAGAACATTGGAAACTGCAGTCTGCTATGGCTGGGAACCCAGACTTAACCAACCTAGTTGTTTCTAAATCATCAGTGTCCAGTTCAGTCCTTAAAGAAACACTTTATTGCTTTGGCAAGGTAAAGCTCTCTGTCTGTCTGTCTGTCTGTCTGTCTCCCCAGATGAAAAAACTCTTACATGTATGATTTTATTCAAACAGAACCTTTAGCTTTCATATTTAATTGAAAATAACTTCTTTAGTCTGTTTCATGAACGCAGATGCTAAACTTTCCTGATATTCAGATGGAAAATTCGGTCCTCTCAGATCTTCTTGAGGCCTTCCAGCCTATCAAAGTTCCGGATTGCATTTTTGCAGGCATGCAAACAATTCCTTCACCTGGAAATATAGATTATTTATACTGTGGTGCTTATTCTTTCCTGGAAGGGATTTTGGACGTAGGTAAATTACTCTTTATTCTTTTTTCGTAGTAAATCTCTTTGGTGCTAGTTGGCAGATTCATTGGTTTCTAATTGCATTTGTGTCCCTCTTTACTGCAGCAATTACTTTCTCATTTACACTGGCTTCGGAAGTACTACTTACTTTAGAATCAGTGGTTACCTCTGTGCGTAAACTTCTTGATAAGTTGGTGGAGGGAAATGGTAAAGGTATTCACATAGGATTTGTTCGGGAACTCCTTCCTACCTTGCACAGCAGAGTGGGGACTTCTGCTCAGAAACTATTAAGGCATAATTGGGATAATGACAATCTTGAGAAAAGTGGGAAGAACAAAGTTAGCCTGTGTCCATGTTCTTACAAAATCTATTTCCAGCTTCAATTGTGGATGTAAATTTAGCAATTTCTTGTGGTAAATTATTCTTATATCTGTGATTTTTTATTCTAATTGTTGCAGGGGGAAATTGTTCAGAAAATCCTGCATATGTACTTACGAAATAGTGGATCTACTTTTGATTTACTGGATGAGTTTGCCTGTTCTATCTTACCTCAGGTGTGTACATGTTTTCCAATAAGGTTTGTTAGGATTTAAATTAATCAAAGTAATTCAAATTTAACTTCTATATTATGGTTGCATCCCAACCCCAAGCCACCATTTGGGATCACAGAAATTGTTGTCCAAATATAAAATTGAATCAGCTCGACCAATTTAATAGTTGCCCAACAAAATGTCAAATACTTTACAAGTTTTAGTTTTGTATTAGGTTCCATCACGCAAATCAATAGCAGAAGATGATTGCCATGGTTTCCCAACTCTGTCTTCTGCAACATTTGTTGTATGGTACCGGGTACTGGTAAGGCGCCTCCTGTTGTCCAATTTTGCATTATAAGCTATAATTATTTTTTGAGACAATTCTAAAATGTTATTTATTGTGCAGCATGAAGAGAACCTCGCTATTCTTAACAAGTTGGTGAGTTGTAGATTCAGTTCCTGGAAGAGTATACATTATATAGTGAATATCATCAGGCTAAAATTTGGGAGTTCTTGTTTGTTCATGTTATCTATTTAGGTTAAGGAAGTTGTGCTCTTAGAGAAATCCAGAGCTGAATTTCAACTTGAAACTGTAGAAAAACTTCTTAACAAACTGAAGCAATCTGTGAATGTGGTTGTATCATTAGTTATCATGTGCAGGACTCACGACAAGGTGGTTAACTAACCAAAAGTGCATACTTCTTTGTTTTCCCATTCGTTTTTTTATTTTTTATTTTCTTTTATTGCTCAAATAATAAGGAAGACAAAACTGTTGATAAGTTGTATGATACTATGATTCAGGTAAGTGTGCATAGCATGGCTATCAAGTATGGCGGGAAGTTTATGGATTCCTTCCTCAAAGGTATTTGGTTAACATTTTGGTCTGCTTTATTATCTAAGATATATATGGTCAGGGGACTAACGTTGAAAAGTTCCTCAGTTTTTGATTTCCTGCAGACCCAATTTCTGTTGCACAATGAGCTCATAGTTCAACTGGTAAGATCAGATAAATTTCTTCTGCTATAGTCGGCAGTATGCGCTACTTGGAATTTGAGCTGCATCCAACTTATGGGTCTCTATAAATTGAATAAAGGTGAAAGAGCTTCAAAAGGCGACAAGAACAATCCAGACTCTTTGCGCTGAAGCTAAGGTCAGTTCTGCTGTTCAAATTTTAGACTAAATGTTTTGCTTATTCACACTGATATTGCCGGGATTTTCCTATTGTTGCAATTTTATTTATTTTATATATATGAAGGGATTAAAACAAACTGCTATAACCTGCAAAATTCCTGCTACAAAGAGATCTATGGAACGCTTCCTATTCCGTGTGAAGGCTCTCCTCCACACTGCACCAAATGGAAGCACTTTTTGGATGGGTATGTAATATATGTATCATATAGTATTTTTTTGGTGAGAAAATTCTGTCATGATATCTTGAAGCCCTGAACTTTACTCAATTATGTATTGATTCACTATTTGTGAATTATTCATAATATTCTGCTCAATGCTGTTAGTTCCTTTTCTATTTACAGAACTTCCTATTATTCTGTGTATTCCAAAACTGTACAGTTTTACCTAACATGCATAATTCCTCAACTTCAGACCCATTTTAATTTTCATGATGCATTGCATAATTTTTTTCCCAAGTGTTCTAATATTCGTGATTGTTGATGTTCTTTGAATCTCGACTTTGGAAACAAGTTCAGCTTTTTTTCCTAGTTTTTGATTGGTGTTTTATGATTGAATGCCACCATAAATCTAAATGACATCTAAGTTCTAACCTTAACTAATATAACCTGCATCTCTTGGTTTGGCAGGCAATCTTAAGCATAAAGACTTAATGGGTAATGCGGTGAGCTCCCAAGCATATGTAGATGATCAAAATGAAACCATTGATGAAGATCCTGCAGAAACACTTGTTGAGGATCAATCCATTGGTGGTGCTAGTGAGGAGGAGAGGGAAACAGAATGAGAAATGCCTTTCTTTTGAAATGTCTGGACACGTTAACCAAAGCCAAGACGAGGTAAGTACTGACTTGCTATTACTTGTTAAATGAGGCCCTTTTTTTTTATTATTTATTATTTGACATCATTATACTAATTTGTTTTATGCCATATCATCACGATTGGAATCGTTGCTTTTAGCAACAGTTCATCCCCAAGGTTGATTCTATGGGGCAGGAAATAGGGTAGAAAAGTATAACGGACAAAGAAAGAAAAAGGAAAATGTGAGGATGAGAAGAGCCTTTTATTTTGCTATGACTTAGTGATTGTTAATAAAATTAACACATCACCATTTTCACTTGAGAATTGTTTGAATACATGCAGGTGATCCAATAAAAGTAATTATAAGTTGTCAAAGATAATGCCATTTTATTGTCGGCAGTAGTAAACAGTATTTTCAAGTGGCAATTTCATGGGTAGTCCTCGAAGTGGATATTGGACGCTGCAATTCTGGTAACATTAAAGAATGGCCATAAAACGGCTGTTAGTAGGTGAAGTTGAAATGTATAGCTACCATGTACTGCAGAGCTATTGTTTCGCTGTGCTTGCTTTTTCCCACTATAATTCGGTCCACCAAAGCGAATGCCAGACTGCTGGGATCACACAACTCTTTTTTAAGCTGCTATTATTGTGAGGTGAAGTTGAAGTGTAACACTGCCTAGGGTTTTTCCTCTACTATATCTTCATTTCTCAACTCAGTCTCCTTACAGTAGTCAGAATTTTTTAATAATTTTATTTCTGTTGTCTATATTTGTGAATATATATATATATAATTTTTTCTTTTTGTTTAGTATAAATTGTAATTACAAATTATTGAGATTGTCTTTCATTTTTGTGCACCAATCCAAGGGTGGGTTTTAACTGGCTAGAGCTTAGGATTATACGGGGCTGATTTAACAATCTTAAAGCTTTGCAGAGATAACAAGCCTCAAAATTCTGTAGCGTGTGATCAAAATCAGTTCAAATTTGAGTTCACCTAAGTTTTGGCTTTCAAGATTCAGGTCATGAAGTTCCAAGATGGCCTAGGTTTTTGTCTTTCGAAAATCACTCCATGAAAGAACTCTTTCACTAAATGCTTTCCCGTACTTGGGTTTAAGCTTATCTTCACTGGGAAAAGGAGTTCTTGATACAAGTATTTCTTTTAATTTTTTTTTAGTATTTCATGTTTATGAATAAACAAATATTTACATGATTACGAGGGGCATTTTTCCTGAGTATATATATATATATTTCTTTTTCTTTTTGTATGTTGTACTTTTATAATTTGTTTGGTAAGAGGGGGAGAGGAAGAAAAAACGAATAATGGATAGAGTTTTCATGGTCTGTTTGGTAGGCTGAATAAAAAAGAAGAGTGAAGGGGTGTTTGCTTTTCCTCCACCAATTGGTTTTTTTGAGTGGGTGGAAGGGATAACAGGGTTATCTTTTTAAAAAATGATTTATATTAGATTAGCTACTTACGCTATATATAGCCCTCAAACTCGTATTGTTGTTTTACGAATGAGACATGCCTATTTATAGGCATTCCAATGGCTGCTAGAAAGTATTCCAATTTACAGTGGCAATTGTTCCTCTAAAATTCTCTCTAATTTTCTCTACATTTCTATATATTATTATAACAATTTATACATATTTATAACAATTTACACATATTTACGTAACTCTAAAATTCACTACACAATTTTACACAACGTTAAAATGACTAGATTTTTTCATGCAACATGTGTGCATCGCTGGCATAACCTTAGTTACCGACTATGAAAATGAACTAAATCTAACATTTAATTCCGCTTTGAAAACACACAACTTAATTAAACTTATAAATTAACAACTCACATAAATTTTAAAAAGCTACTCAATTTGATTCCTTGCTTAGCTTTCAAACTCATCACGACGTGTAGAGTGAGTATTGTTCAACCTTTTAAATTATACTTGATTTTGTTAGTTTTGTAATTTTGTTAAAATCAATGCATTAAATATGTATTCTTTTAAAAAGTTGGAAGTTCCTAAGGTTATAGTATTTGTTTGTAAAAGATGTGCATCTTTGACCATGATTTGTGCCACTTGACACAATCAAATAGGCCAGAGGTATAATCAATGTGTGTATATTTTAGTTACGTGTATGTGCATGAAAAACTTTATTAGTCAGATTAGGATGGCAAAACAGGCATGGATTCTAAAATATGGATCCACAAAGTTTCCATATTAAGAAATAACACATTTTTCATACGATTGCCAAAATCTTGTTCTTGTCCCTTAAAAATCTTCAGCCAACCCCTATTACGGCATTACCTTACCTTCCCTTACCTTATTTATTTTCACACGCAAACACTCGATGTTTTTACACCCCCAATTTGGAACTCCCCATTTGCACCTCACATGGCCAATGTATTTTTCTCTTTTCTTTGCCAAACTTTCCTGCACGTGCATAGATTTAGAATTATATAGTCATAGTCAATCAAAATATGACATGTAAACAAGAACCTGAACAAAGTTGGCACATTTGTTTGTATGCTGAGTTATAATTTATTAGAATCATGTAAAAATTTCGAGAGAAATTGAACGTTCTACCAACTAACAGGGACGGACCTATGTTGCCCCCTCAATTTTTTTATTACTATTATAACCTACTATTTTTGTCATTCTAATATATATACTAATGAAATATTACCTTTGCCCCCCATAAAATTATTTAAAAATTCAGTATTACCCCCCTCCCTTGAGTTTCTAGGTCTGTCCCTGCCAGCTAAGTCAATGAGAGTAGTCTATTTTTGAACCGTTCAAATTATGGGAAAATCACATTTTCAATTTGCCCTAGAAAATGGGTTGAAAATTTTAACTCTTTTTGACCCCCCACAATATTTGTTCAAATGGGAGTGGATCTTGTTCAGTTCTATGCACTATCTGATGTATCAAAACGGTATAATTTTTTTGTAAGATCCCTAATAAACTGGAGGAGATTCGAACCCTATGTAATAAAAGGATGGATTGTGAATTGGTTTCATTTCATACTCGACTTATGGCGAAACTTCACTTAGATCCGGTGAGCTTAGTTTCTAAATCAAAACTTGTCCTTGTCATTAATCAAATGGGATAATGTCTCATTCTGTCATTATGGTACACCGGTTATAATTTTGTAAGAAATGTTTTTAATCCAACATTGCTTCTAGTAGAGCTTGAACACTTAACCTCCCTTAGGAAAGCTGATGATTCATACATTGCACTTCTTGTTTTCACTATCAAGAAAGAAAATTACTAGTATACCCTCTTCATATATATATATATATATATAGAAAGAGAGTGTCTAGTTGCATTCGAATAAAAAATAAAAGAATACAAGACAATATATATGTTATTTCCTTTTCTACTATAACAAACAATGGAGTACAATTATGACTCCATTTTTTACTTTGATTATTACTTAGACTATAGAAAAACCCACAAACTCACTCAATTTCATGCGCTATCTGTGTCATTGATATTAAGAGGAAAAAAAAAATGGTTTGAGAAGTTTTGGATTTTATTTAAAAGAAGCTACTTTCACTTACATATGTTGCATTGGGATCCTATTAAGAAGACAAGAAAATAGCAAACTAATTAAAAAATGACATTATTTTTGTGGGTGATTTTGCTTTTTTCATATTTATGGTTAGATATATTTGTAGATTTTGTGTAAAGGCAGCACCACTATTTTAGTTGTTGGCTACTTGACATGACTGCCTTTTTTCATATGAGCCACCATCCTTGTCTCATTATCTAAGTCATATAAAACTTTTAAATGATAAGTCTTTTCCCGAATTTATTTTATTTGATGTTTGATGAACATTGTGGAATCCAAACTTATTATGATTATATATATATATATATATATATATATATATGGTTTATTATTAGTTAGAGTTTTTTTTTTTTTTTTTTTTGTTTTAATGATAATTTAAAGTTTTAACTACAAAATTAAGAAAATTTGTTGTTATGATTGTTTTTTTTTTTTTTTTCCTAGTTGGTACTCATACACACATGCCTCTATTAAGGCTCAAACCACTGATCACACTTTGAGAAATAAGAGCCCAATACCGCTAGGCCATTGGCCTGTTGGTATTGTTATGATTGTTAGGCATTTGCTTGCAATAAGGTTTTTCTAAAAGTTAATTCCTCATAAATTTATTCAATATTTTTATTATTTAAATAAAAGAAGCATGGTGGGACAAGTGACGGATCCAGAAAATTTTGTGAGGGAGGGTCTTTTAATTTGTTGGGCAAACTTATATAGTGTGTCTATTTTTATAATTTCAATGGATTTTCTTTATAAATTTTTAAAAAATTAAAGTATAAAATGCAAAAAAATTAATTCAGTGGGGTGAATTAAAATTTTAGTGGGGGCATCTGCATAAAATCTTAAAAATTTGAAGTATAAAATACAAAAAAAAAAAAAATCAGTGGGGGCTAATTGTAATTTTAGTGGAGACATTTTTATAAATTCTAAAAAACTTGAGGTATAAAATAAAAATATAAAAAATTCATTAGGGACATTCGCTTCCATTGGTCATATGTTGGGTATGTGCCTGAGTGGGACAATCTGAACCCAAACTCGTTTTGACTTTGATGCCGAGTGAAGAAAGGGGTTCAGGGCTAAGTCACATAATTCTTCTCAACAAGTGTCGCTCTCACACAAACTCGTTTTGACTTTGATGCCGAGTGAAGAAAGGGGTCCAGGGCTAAGTCACATAATTCCTCTCAACAAGTGTCGCTCTCACACAAACTCGTTTTGACTTTGATGCCGAGTGAAGAAAGGGGTCTAGGGTTAAGTCACACGATCCTTCTCAACAAGTGTCGCTCTCACACTCTGAGCGTTCTCCCACTCTCACGCTCCGCACGCGCTGTCGTTCAAATTCTCATTACTTATGACTTAATTCTGCGACTCTCACACTCTTGCTTTTGAATTCGCTCTCGCTCCCGCTCCCGCTCCCACTCTCATTTTATGTGATTTAGGTCAAAGGCAAATTTGCTTGCTAACATGATGAAGTACGAATTTAATCAACCTTTTTGTTTAGATGATTTATTTCGTATCAAGTGATCAAGGACACAAAAGTAATTAAAAGGAAATCCAAATCAAGGACCTAATTTTTTATGGTGGTAGAGCTAACGTAAAAATCAATGTGATCGAAATTTAAAAACATTGTCCCACCAAAATTTCATGCATTGGAACAAGGTTCATGTACCTTTCTCTAATGGAAAACACCAATTTAGTTAATAATGCGTGTGGTTTATATCCAAAGCCTTGGCATTATCGCACTGTATAGTGAACCTGTTTGGTTCACGAGAAAGTGACAGCCACTGGCCCACTACACTGAATAAATTCGTTACACCAAACAAGAAAAACCCACATCAAATTCCATCTACTCGTAACGTCAAAAAGTTGCCATTTCTCGGAAAGATATCAATACCTCACGACAAACAGCATATGCCAATTCAAACACGTGCAAAATCAACAAAGTTAAAAAAAGAAAAAGAGAGAGAGTAAGATTTTTAGGGCACGTGGTTAACTCATGTTCCACGTGCCCAATTGCATAGGCCCAGGCATTTATGTTTTTTGATTTTGTGTTTTCTTCGTCTAACGTTTTTGTTGTTGATGCGTTTATAAAGATCACAGTCCATCATAGAGATATGTTCTAATCTTCCTCTGCTTCAATTAACTCCCAATGCATATATATCTATATATGTGTGTGTATATTTTATATATGAACATTTTGATTGAGAAAGACACACGGCAATATTGAAGACTCAAGTTTCGGATGCATTGACTTCTTCTCAATTCACTGATTTTTGCTGGCATTCAATGTAAGTTTTTTGATCATCTTCATCATGTTAATTCTATGGAGTTGAGAGATTTTTCATGGGGTTTTGCTCTGTTTTCTTGGCAACCAAACAGAGGATTCATTGTGCAATGTGATACTCTACTTGTGGTGTTGGTCATTGTAGGGCTCGTCAATCAAGTGAAAGCCAAATGACCATATTTTTCAATGGAAGGGTTTGTGTCTGTGATGTGACTGAACTTCAGGTACCTCAAATTTCTTTGATTTTATTATGTCATTTTATAGAGATGAAATATGTAAATTCACAAATTATATAGCATTAGCAATGGAGTTCGAGACAAAGCATTTTTCTTTCACGTTTACTTAACTAGTTAGATGCCTGTGTCGTATGCTTTATTTTCAAAAAATTGACATAATCATTCTGCACAAAATAATATCAAAAGTCAGATTTTTGTGGGATTAATTCTTCCCTTAATTTTATAATATATATATATATACACACACACACACATACACCGGCATTTATATAGAGTATTTTAATTGCTAAAATTTGGATTCAAACCTTAACCCTTTCCCTAGCTACAAGGATGATAATAGCATCACAATGTCTTTGGTGGTTTGAAAAATTTTACTTGTCATGTTGAAATAACAAAACTGTGGCATGCCTAAATCTGACCGAATTAGTACATTTCATGTATTAGTAATTTGTTTCATAACTAGAATGCTTCGAAGTTGTTCCCAAAAATGAAGCCTCTATCTCTATAAATCTAATAAGAAAAACTCTTCTCAAACCAAATGGTGGGTCCCACATGAGGTAATTTAGATCATTGGGATGTAGTAGGTTTTTTCAATATAATTAAATCTATTTTCAACACATTAAATCTATTTATTTCAGTCAAATTTAATGTGTTGAAAAATAGAATTAATGGGTTGAAAATTTACAGTGTTATAACTATTTGAAAAATCCCAAACATTTAATTTTTAAGCAAATAAAGACCTAAATATTGAAAAGACTAAAATGTCCCTCTATATTGAATAAAAAAATTAAATGTGAAATGACTAAAGTACTGTCCCCCCTTTTTTTTTTCCCTTTCTTTTTATATATAGGGGCATTATTGGAAGAGAAAATGATATTTTCAGAATTTTATATTTTAAAAATGTGATGTGCAATGCACATGACTAAATTTGTAACAAAACAGTAACTTCAAGACCTTCTTTGATCATTTTTTCAAACTTAACTACTTGTGATATTTGTCTAAAATTTAAACATTAGGGTTGTTTTACTCGCTTTCCCCTTAATGTGTTGAGAAATTATAACACCCCTACAGCAGAGGATCCAAAGCGCTACAACACAACACTTCAATAAGAAGAAAAAGGGTTACAATTGGCTTTCTTAATTGTTAACTAATCAGTTGTTGTAATGCTTTATTGGGTTGATGAGAAAAATATGTACTCTACAAATCTTCATTAACCAAAACATGAGCAAATTAAGATTTCTTTAAAAATATATAAATAAATAATAGCTAATGGATGAATTTATATTTTTTCTATTCAATTTAGGCCAGAACCATCATATGGCTTGCAAGAAAAGAAATGGACCAGAAGAAATCCAAGACAGCAGGTTTGGACACCACAAATATTCCATCTCCTCAATCTCAAATTTACAGCCCTCCTGGACTTTCCATGAAGAAATCTCTCCAGAGGTTCCTCCAAAGGCGAAAAGATCGGATTCAAGGAAGGTCGTCGCCGTACAATAACTTGTCTGAAATCGAATCCTCAAGTGAAAAACACAGAACTGCTTGATTTTAAAATAGATAGAAGAGTAATGTACTTATTGTTATTAGTAGTTCATGAGTTCTTTTCCTTGAAATGAAATAGTAGTACATTATTAGTGTTACTTTGAAGAAAATCATCCTTGTGATGATTCCATAAATTCAATTTCTTACTTTTTCAATCGCAGGTGACGTGGCCTTATGTAAATAAGTCATCCCACCGATAAAAAGCGCAGAAAATGAATAAATGTTTGGTTCGGTTTTTTTGAGAATGGGTTTTTAGAAACAGAATGATCTGTTTGAACGAATAATACGATGTATATGATTTACACCAGGCAAAATATTTGAAATTCATCAAGAATCTAAAATAAATATAACAAGTGTGTTGTTAGGTTCCAATTACTTCTAGCTCCTTTTAGGCATTTCCAATATGTTTCAAATAATAGAAGTGAACTTTAACTTATATGATCTGACATCAATGTCATTTCTGACTTTGGACAAAAATGAAGCAGAAACAAACTCCAATTAGATTTTAGGGTTATTTTCTCCCACCAATGTAATAGTAGTAGCACCATTGATAAGTCCATATGAAGAGAGGGGTGATCTGCAAAGGCTTTTGTAAACTATATATAAGTAATGGATTATTTCTTCCCACCAAATGGTGTTAGCACGGGGTGTCAGAGTAAAGTCAACCAAATCCCGGAAGAAGTTTTGATCATATTAAAAGGCAATTCATTTGAAATTTTAAATAGGCCCTCCCATTATATGCAAAATGTGCGAAGACCATCTACGGTTAGTAAAACTACCTATACTTTTCAATTTGTGCTAATAAGGATAAAATTTTAATTTGGGAAGTAATTGAAGAATGAAATGACTAAAGTATTACAGTAGTATACTTACTTTTAATCCTGACCATAGAATCTAATCCTACGGTTAATTAATCAATGTTTCCCTTTTTTATTTAAGGCAATTGTTTTTTTTTTTTTTAATACCATAATGTTATTAATAGGAAATGACAAATTAGACATGTTTTTAATGAAAACAAATTAAAACCAAATTGGTTGTGATTTTCTTTTATACGAATTCCTTCCCATTCGAATTCTCAAAGCATACCAATTAAAAATAAAAAAATTAATTATTACCAATTCCCTTCGTTCCTATCCGTTCAGTCAGGGAATTCTCAAAGCATACCAGTTGAAAAATTAACGCACAATCGCCCCCTTTTCAACCTTGCAATTAATTTATATCTGTAAAATAACTACTTACTGAATAATTAAATTACAAAGGAATGTTGTACTCTCAATATATGCTTATTTGTATGTGTGTGCATAAAAATGAATTCAAAGACAAGCAAAATCATCAAATCATGTAACCCAATATATAAAATATGAAAGGAAAGGGAATGGACCACCTCTACAACCTACTTTGACATTGCTACCACCTCTACCACCGCACCGCCACCTCCACCGCCACTGCCACCACCTACCCCGCCACTGCCGCCAGTGATGGAAGTGGAATGCGCCGTGGCAATTCAAAGTTAATGGGATTGGAAATTCCATTATTTTTATTTTTTTTGTCATACGTGGTTGTCTTCAGTGGTAGAGGTGGCGGCAGTGGTGGGGTAGGTGGTGGCGGCGGTGGAGGTGGTGGTGATGGAGGTGGAATGCGCCGTGGCAATTCAAAGTTAGTGGGATTAGAAATTTCATTATTATTATTATTTTTATTTTTTATTTTTATTTTTTTCTGATGTGGTTGTCTTCTATGTTTCAACCTTCTATCGTCGAAAGAATTGGAAATAATAATTTTTAAATTTTTTTTTTTTTTAATTGGTATGGTTTGAAAATTCGGATGGTTTTAATTTGTTTTGAGAATTGGAATTCGTATAAAAGAAAATCCTAACAATTTGGTTTTAATTTGTTTCTATTAAACACATGTCTAGTTTTGCCATTTCCTATGAATAATAAATAATGATAATAAAAAAGAAGAAGAAGCAATTGCCTTAAATATAAAAAGGAAATATTGATTAATTAATTACCGTAGGATTAGATCCTAAGGTCAAGATTAAAAGTGAGTATACTACTTTATGCTTGCTAGGGAGCAATTGAACGTCACTGTAAAATTATCTTTAAAAAATTCAATTTATTTTAGCCCTAAGAATGAAATAAAATATTTAAACCTTAGCGTCAAAGTTAGTCCCCATTCTTCGAAAAAAAAATTTGCATTAAGTTGACTTTCATCATCACATGTTTATTACCAAATATCAATAAATTACAGGTGAGCGCCGTACGGTGGTCTCTCTATTTTAACCAATAAATTAAAGATGTATTATATGATTAATTTGAATTTTTTATAAATATATATAAAAAAGTCTCAATTCAGCATTCAGCATTTAATTATGAAGAATTCATGACTCTTCAATCTCCCTTGAGAGCATTACTCTTAAAAATAAAAAAATAAAAATACTCATTAATCACTATATATCTCTTTCTTTAATAAAAGCAATTTGCTTTATGAGACACATTAATTATTTAGGAAATCCAACATTAGTGCCAACATAAGTATAGAATAACAAGTAAGAAACTAAAATTAAATAGAGTAGGAAGAATCCTTGGACTAAAATATAAGCTCAAATTAAAATTGCATGCACAAAACCGCTTTCTAAGTTTACAAAAAGGTGGTCCACTTAGTTTTGAATTCTTTTTTCCCCAGTTACATAGATTAGACAATATAACTCATGATTTTGAATTTCCAAAGATTAAAGAGATACTGTATGTTAAATTCATGGGCAACTCACATATGTTTATGCGTGCACGAGTACTCATATATTTATTGAAAGAAAATTTTGAACTTTAATCATTTAGAAAACAGTATAAGAAAAGAAACATAATGATTAAACAAGAAAAAATCTAGAAATCTGATCAAACATGTCATTGTTTCTTAGTGAGATATACGATGCTCATACCGAGTATTCTGGAAAAAGGGTAGATATTCATATATAGTCACTTAATAGATATAAGAAGATATTCTACATAATTATAGATCTTTGAAGAATATGTATATATACGTAGGATTCTACCATTCTTCATTTTCGTGGTGGGACGATGTCTATATAAATGAGGTTGTGGTTCATCTTCACTAACCTTCCACTTCAACGTATGGCGATTGGTTTGGTGAGTTCAGTATGGAGTATAGTTCAATGCTAGAAGAGTCGATGTATTGAATAGGTAACTTAATTCTCCCTTATTTATGTGAACATTATAACTATTGAGGGGTCTTGTTCTGGTGATTAATTTGAGTTTTTTTTATTGCAAAGTAGCAAATTGGTTATACAAATGGTGACGAAGTTCACTTTTTACTAATTTTTGTTTGTTGGTTTGTGTTTTTTTTTTTTTTTTCATTGACAAAAAATTCATGCATTCATTGTTCAAAGACCCAACTCTCTCACATTTACATTAGAAGGTAAATGAGATATCAGTCGGCCACAAGAGTCAACTTAATCAGTAACAAATTACAAATATTTCAAATTAATAAACTTATTATAGAGATTCTATTGAGTAGTATTTCTGGAGTCGAGGGAGCTAATGAAACACCTCTGAACCAATTGAGTTAGGTTCCCCATTAAGGTGAATAAGTTCAGTGAGAATATAATTGCTTGTGTCTTTTTACATACATATATGATGATATATATTAAAAATAATAATTCAGGGAGCGAATTTGATTTATGTTAGTGTGGTGGTGTGTGTCTCACATGCATGTAATGAGAGTTATGAGACCCACTACTCCTTTAACATAAATTGAAATCAATAAATACGGTCCTAAATCACTATTTATAAATTAATGATTATATAAAATGACATGTATAATAAGATAAGTGCTAAAAAAAAAAGATAAAAAAGGTATTTAATGACATAAATTAAGGCTTAGTCCTTGTGAAGAACCTTTTAAATAACAATCCATTAATTGTTGAGCGCAAGAGCTATTAAAAAATGTTAAAAAAAAAAAAGTAACTAGTGTCAAATTTTGATAGTCTAATAACAAATACCGTCTCCTAAGGTCATTTTTCTATTATAATATTAATTTTAAAACAATAATCAAAATAATCCATTTTAAAAATTAACTTCAACTCTGAAAGTCAAATATTAAACAAAAGTTGCTTTTCAGAAAATGTTTATGGAATTAAATTTATTAAGAAGATGATCATGTAAGATAAGTTCTCATCATGACTGATATCATAGAAGTCGGAGACACTGTAACAGTTTATGAGATTCTCTAGGGTAATATAGGCTTTTTGGGGAAGGTTAGCCCAAATGTGGCCTAAACTAATTATTAATAAACGGGCCGGACAATCTTTAACTTTAAATATATGCCCCAAACCAACCTATTCAGAAATTATTCTTTGTGCAGGATTTGGCCCAACCCAGACAGTGCCCGAAGTGCCAATACTTGGCTTTGTTTTGTTAGGTGAAATCAGTTAGAAAAAGAAAGGGAAGATAAAATTTTTAATTTTTTTAGAGTTTGGATAGATAGAAAGAGAAAATTAATGAAAAATTTAGTTTTTCTTATTAAATATTTTCCCTCAAAAAAAAAATTCGCAAAGTTCTCTCCAAAACAACTTCTATTTTGAGGTAAATTCGCAAGGCAAATTATAAAATTATATATACAGAATATCAATGATAATTTGGGTAAAATTGCTCAAAATAGATCATGCTTCTAAATAGAACTTTTTATTTTTTTTAATCTTCTGTTCTATGTTTTAATTCTAGCCACTCATAATTCTGTATGGATATGTATATGTATATATATATTTTATGTGGTGAAACATTTGATTTTTCTCCTAAACAATAGTATTGTCTCTTCATCTCTAATTTTTTAATTTGTTTATCTTAAAACTAATAATTGGTTTTAACTAAGGAAATATTATGAAGCCTTATTCTAAATATAAGTATCGAATCTGACGTATTTTTATCCACCTCATCTACTTAAACAGTTTTTAAAAATAATTGTTTAACACGTGATAAGAATGATCAACCACGTCAAATTCGATAGTAATTCGGTGATTCCTTTTCGGTTCCCCTATCATTACTTATAAAAATTTATGTTTTATAACCAAATAAATTTTTTATAAAATTTTTCTTTTTCTTGAGAAGTTTTATGAACTTACTAAACGCATATTTTTTTTCTTTCTTTTCTTTATCAGTCTAGAAACTTTGATCTAGAGTATGGAATTATGACCTAAAGTCACAAGAACAAGAGTATACCACTACAATAATACCTATTCTTTTGTTTTTTTGTAAGTTTCATAGCACTCAAATCATGAAATAGTAATTTATCATGACTTTCCTGAAAAATGTTTTAATTTTAATCCAATACATGTTAAAATATATAGGATGAAGTGCAGAAAATATCCTGAAGTATGCTTATAGTGCATATCACACCCCTCACGTGCAAAAAACACCCTCAAATTTCAATTTGGTGCAATTAGGTCCCTTGACACATTTAAAATCTAAATTGACCAAATTACCCTTATTGAATAATTTTATAAAATATATAAAAATAATTTTTTTTGTAAAAAGACCGAAAAGGACCTTGCACACCCTAACTATTTGCATCATTAGAGGGCCTTTGAAGTGGAAGCCAATCCCCATGTTTCCCGATGAACTCATATAAACCTCCTATAACAAACCCACAAAAAAGTAACTCAAACCCAAAAACCATATGCATATGTGTGTAAGGTGTGTATATGTGTATGGTAGGCGACTGTTAGAGTGAGAGAGGGGAGAGAGAGAGAAAGAGGTGGCCCAGTTGGAAAAACAAAAAGATGGACCAGTTGCCGGCAGTAACCAGTCCCGATGAACCCATCTGAGCAAGAGGGGAAAGTGTTGTGCGTGAATAGCACTGTCGATTCCTCAGGCCGCCCCTACTCTTCCTCCAGACGACGTTGAGCCACGATGCGGATGACGAGCCAGAACTGATGATGAAACCCACGATTCCGAGCCAGAACTGAGAAATTGGTGATTGAGAGAGAGATTTAAGAACTGCATGATGAAAGTCTTCACCGACAACGTCCCCAGTAACCAATCCACCACGATCGCCAACGCGTCGGACATGAACGCGAAGTACTGCCCTTCGAGATCGAATTGTAATGTCACCACTGCCGTAACTATCGTAGTACCTGAAGTATCATCGTCATCCTTCCTCATCGCCATAGTCTCTGTCATCTTGTAGCTAATATGGTTAGGTTTGTGCTCCGCTTACTCTACATACACTGTGAGCATGTATGTATATCAATATAAAATTGATTCTTTGGTAATGGGTTATAACATAATCTATATATATGAAGCACATACATGTAAATTGACTAAACAGAGAACAAAGGACAAAAAATTGTCAAACTAGTGGAAATGAGAGCTCAGCTAGGCTTAATAGACATAGAAAATACCAAGAAAAAAAAAAAAAAAATCAACGAGGATCAAACAAATATAAATTCATATGCATACTGAAATTGCAGAAGTACACACATTTAACATATATATTACTTTAAAAAAAAAACATATATATTCATATGCCGACATATAGAAATAAATAAATACACATACACATTTAGCATAAAATTAATTTTTTAGAGAAGTATTGAAGAATCAAACCTGGTGAAGAGAGGAGAGAAGAAGGCGAACTGCTGAGAATCGAAGGAGATGACTTGTATCTTCATATGAATATTGAAATTGATTCGATTAGTTTTGCGAAGACCACTGAGCTAAACCTGATCGCCCAAATCAAATTAATGATCGACTGAGCTCGGCTGACCGACAGCGGCTCAGAGGGTCTGAACGGTTGGCAAGGCGGTGACGGACCGGCGAGGATGAAGATGGCCGGCGAGCAAGGAGAAGCTCGCACGGAACTGATGGCGGGCCGAACTCTCCACGGCCGATCCTCACCACCGCTTCCTCGCTGGAAAAGGCAAATCCACGCCGCCGTTCTTAACGCTGGCGGCGGCAGAACCGGCGAGCTTGGAGGGACTCTCGACGACGAACTGCAGTGGCTGACTTGGCAGAAACCGACGGTGAGAGGAAGGATTGACGGCAGCTGCTTGGGACTGGCATTTTCATCCGTATGTATAGCTCGGACCAATAGTCTCGTCATGTTGTTATGCCCAAGGTTATGGAATTCTTTCTCTTGTAGCCGTAGAATCGTCAAGGGAGGAAGTTCCGATGAAAAGGTATATGGAAGGATGATTGCATGGGCATTTTAGGAAGGACAAAACGGTAAAATGCGTATTACAATATTAATTTATGTCAAATTTATGACAAAAGATTAAGAATGTTTACTAAAAAATACACTTTAAGAAATCTGCACTTTCCCCAAATATATATATATATATTTCTTTCTTTCATTTCTTTCACTTTCTTTTATTTTCACTTTCCATTATTAATTTTCATATACCCAAACAAAGCCAAAACAATTAAAACTTATTAATATGAATTTAAATGTAAGTAATCCCCATGACTCTTTTGATTTTAACAAAATTAATATTTAAATCCAAATTCGATGGGGCGTGACTGTTCTGATATCATTTGTCACTAGGCTGAGTACTTCACAATCCCACCAAAAAAAAACATAAACTATATGTTAACAATCTGCCTCGAGTCAATTTTATAGGGTTCGAGAGCACCGATTAACTTGGAATTACATTTGATTTCCTCCACACTCTTTTAGACACCATCCAATTAATCTTATCATGTAAATCATATGGGATCATTAAATACAGGATTTAGTTAATGACATGTATCTAGATATTAGATGAAGCAAGTCAAAATTGATTTGATTGGTATTATTTTCCCTCACTAATCCAAGTGTTTAATGTCCCAACTGCCAATAAACTTTACCAAGTCAAATACCAATACGTGTTGGCTTCCCATTGGATGACTAGTCGATGCACCCGCCATTTGTAAACCTCCCATGGTAACGGTCCAACTGGTTTTTCGAGCACAGTTCCCGCTCTAGGCAGCAATGGGAGAGTATATAGAGAGAGAAGGTAGTGAGGGAAAGAGAGCAATGCAGGAGGCGGTTGCAGATGCAAGAAACAGACCCTCAAATGCAGAAGAAGAACCGAATTCAGGTCTCCAACACCAAGAAACCCCTCTTCTTCTACGTCAATCTCGCCAAGGTAAAACCCCCCTTCTCTCTCTCTTCTAGGGTTTCTACACCATTCCTTCTTTATGTCCAAGTGTGATTAGAATTTATCATTTTTTTTTTTTTGGCTATTGACATCTTATTGTCATGTGAAGTTGAATTTTTAAACGACTTGTAATGTGTAACGTTACTCAATAATTAAAAATGCTTGAAACTACATAGTTTAGGGAACAATGTTTAAACACAGCAGGGATAGCTATGCTAAATTGTAAGTCATGGATACTTAAAAATGCCATATATCAATTTTTTAACTATTCAACTTATGATAATATAGAGAGATTCAATTTAGAGGATTGTTGTCTCTTTTCAAGTGGTATATGAATGATTTATGTAATTGATTAGTGGGTTTAGATCACTGTGTCAATTCGAATAGAGGAGTTATGATTTTATACGTAAATTGGATATTGAATTTTTTTTTTTTTTTGGGAAGCTAGGATATTGAATTTGTTGATATAGTGTAGTGGAGAGAAAAAAATATAAGAAATGGGAAAAAAAAAAAAAAATCTTTGGCGTAATTGAGTTGAGTTTTTCAACTGCAACCAATGTTTTTCTGTTTGGTTGCCGAGGTATTGTGAGAATAAAAAGGAAATCTAAAATGTTTTCTCGTTTGATATATATTATCTAGTACATGTGAAACTTGATGTATATGGAGGCTGATATTTCATGTCATGCATTCTTTTCTCCGCAGTTTATGTTTATTTCAATGGCCTTAGATTGATATATTTTCCTTGCCAACTTCTGTGCTGGTTAAAAACTTAAAAGGGGCATCTCTCTTTTTCTTTAAATTTTCCGGCCTCCCTTTAGATAGAAAATTGAAAATCAAGATTGATAAGTGGTGAATTTTCACCTTTTTCTTTAAGTTTGCTTGGTTCGATTAACTTTGCGAAGCAGTTTTTGAAGATTTGATATTAAAACTGAACTTGGTGTACATTCCCGAAAAATTATTGAACTGCTTGTCATCTTGTTGCCTAGGCAATATGCATATCTCCTTTTGAAGTTTTAGGCCATTAGACTAAAGTGTTGAAGTTTTAAGGTGCAGCAATAAGTCCCATATCAGGTTACCAATTTGCTCATAGGAGATTGAAGAAACTTAGCACACAACAACAATCCCCAATTGAGGGGTTGTAGGTATAGGGTTCCATCCGTTGACACATGGGCAGTTATCCGCGTTTCAGTTGCCTTGACAAGCCATTTTGGAGGACTTCAAGGAGGTCGCGATTTGATGGTTAGGAGAGAAGTGTTGGCTAAGAGGTGATGCTATAGGGAATGAGGAATTCCACCACCTCAAGCAGTCCCATCTTTCGTACACCCATGGGGGACGCCTACATTTACAATGGGAAAGAAATTATCTGAAACTTAGTTCTCTTTGATAGCGATAATTCATCATTCTCGTCTCCCTATCTCCTTGTTTGTCCTTCACATTTGCTTAGGAACATGTAGCCCTTTTTATATGTGACATCCAGAGGTGAGCAAGGAGTCTTCTCTCACCATTACTCTTTATATATATGTATGTATGTCTCTCTCTCACCTATCTCCTCTCCTTACTCTTCCTCTTTCAATCACTCTCCTTGGGTGGTCTTTGTAGCACAATGTGTATCAACTCCCATACTGCATGTTCGCTCCACCGGGAAGGTTATCATTCAAAAAGACATTTTCTCTCACCATTTTGTTTGAGTAACCTCCCACTCAAACCATGTTCGGATGTTCCATCAGTGAGACTCGCTATAAAATTATGAAATGAATGGAGTATGATTATGTCCCGTGAGAATCCCAGGACAGATTATCGAGGTGTTGAACCCTTATTCTCAGATTCTAGAAATTTTGTAAAGGAAAGGTTCAATTTTCAGGAGAAATTGGGCTAAATATTAATCCATAAAAGAATCATAGATTTATAAGCAAAAGACTCAAAAATCTAAATTTTATTCCATATCTAAAAATCCTATTACACCCCATATATACATAAATGAACTTGATCCCTAAGCAAACAAATTTGGAAATAAATGGAACCCCTTACATAAAATATGTTCGAAATAAAACAAGATCAAATCTCATTAAGAAAAAAGAACTAATAAATCTCAATACTGAGATAGAACATTATTCACTCTTTTAAGTTACAAATGAAAAAGACAGTGCTTGTATTCTTTTCTTAACATGAAAACTTGATTGTCTGCCTTTGGTTTGGTTGTATCATATTTGCTTTTAAAAGTCTTGGATTTGTTATCAGTTTTATGTTGAATAATGTTATTTTCTTTGATGCAGAGATACATACAGCAGCACAATGAGGTTGAGCTCTCTGCTTTGGGCATGGGTACTACTTTTGAAACTAGTCATTTGATAATGGATTATGAAATTGGTCTGTTATGGTCACGTATCAGTATTCCGTTAACGATTCTAAAAACAAAAATCTAGATTTATGTGATAATTTAGAGAAACAGAAGGGACATTTACCCATGATAGTCATAATTTGATGCGCGGGAATTAATATCGTTCCTCTTATATTTTCATTCATGTGTTACTATTACTCCACTTCTTGATACCTTACATGTTATTATCGCAGCAATCACTACAGTTGTCACGGTTGCTGAGATTCTAAAGAACAATGGACTCGCTGTTGAAAAGAGTGAGAATCATTCTTTTCCTAATGCTCATCAACATCTTATACACATAGTAGAGATTTTGTTAGTGAAAAAAAAATCGATTGGCTGTGACCGAAAATTTCTGCACTCTTATTGCTAACAATTATCGAATTACTAATTATGTTGGGGGACCTGGACAGAGGTTTTGACATCTACTGTTAGCATGAAAGACGAAAACAAGGGCCGGCTTGTTCAGAAGGCCAGGGTGAGTGTTAATTTGTTATTGATTTATATTTTAGTGACAGTAAATGAGTTCATTGTAACCATTTCTTGTGACATTTCTCTCTATTGTTTAATCACTTTTCTCATGACTTGCAGATTCAAATTATGCTTGGGAAGAGTGAAAAATTCGACAGTCTGATGGCTGCTGCTTCCACGGAAGCACCAGAGGCGGCTGCAAATGACACGGACGAAAACAAACAGTAGCACCATTAGATGTTCCATTGTTGTAGCATAATGTTTACATTGATTCTATAGTATGCACGACGCAAGTCTAGATAAGAGGTGTAGCTAGGTACTTTCTGCTTAAAATTGTTGCTCATATCAAATGGTTAAGAGTGAAGAGAGACAGCAAACTCGGCCTTTGATTTTGCGTTCTGGGAAAGATGATTATAAGCTTCTTTCTAGTTGGTTTTTCGTATTTTTGAGATGTAACCAGTCTAACTACATCTTTTCAAACTTGTAATTTTCCAATTTACTGTACGTGTACGATGTTATTAATCGAAAAAGTGGAGAAGAATCTACAATTCATTTTTCAGATTGTCTTGCTATTTTATTCAACTTTCTTTTCTATGCACTAATAACCATGAAAGTATTTTTTTTTTTTTTGGGTATAAATGCCAAGCAAGGTTATGAATTTTGAATTCTGCAGGATAATTTTTTTTCATCTTTTATTATTTTCATGGCTGAAACTGACATGATACTAGGTGCAGGTTTGTGACTCTGCGTAAAACTATTTACGGAAAGCATATAGTAAATATTTAAATTCATGATGAAATTCTTTGTGACTTACAATGCTGAACTTCTCATCATTCATTAAAATAGAAATTTGAGGTTATGGGTAATGTAATACTATCTCACTGAAACTGCAAGAATTCAACCAAATAAGAAATGAGTAATCATATGAACAAGAGCTGCTCTCTGCTAGACTTCACGAATTCACATTTTTTTCTACAATTTTTTGATTTCTAAGTTCTTACCCTTCCATCGGAAACCAAATAATGGAGCAACCTTGTGAGTCATACGCAGCGGAATGTATTAAGGTTTTGTAAAATAGATCTGTGTCGTTACCAACTTTACTTATTTTAGCAATTAAACAATTAATCACATGCAGATAAAATAAAGCAAAAGTTAGAGATGACACAAGGATTTTAGCGAGGAAACCCTAGTTAATAAAATACGTCAACTGTTATGGGAAAAACCTTGTGGACTATGCTGTATGCTTGAAACAAAGTATACCGAACTTTGACTCTGGCTCACACTCTATTGTTCTACCCAACACCAACTACTGATAATCCTCTGGCTTTGCGACTCCCTGTCCAACAGCAACTTGACCTCAGGCTTACACTCGATATTCATAGAAGAGTAACAGGTAGATTAGACGACACTCCACGAGTGCTCCAACCCTTTCAAAGTGCGATTGCGTGTACTTCTGTTCTTCAATCGTCTGAATGTTGTAAAAGAATATCTGAATCACGATCAGGATTTGAACACCACAACTCTAAACTCACTATGTGTATGTGTTCTAGAAAGATGTCAGAAAAACCAACTCTGATTTTCTGCAAAAATAATCTTTCGAAGGCTTTAAATAGTATCTGAATAATAATGTAAAAGCCGTACATAAACCGATGTATATGAAATGGTTTATATAGAAAATATAATGACCTAATCCTTCTGAAAATAAGGAAAAATTTCGTGCATAGGATTTGGTACAATTCTAGACCAACTGGGAAACAATTCAGAATAAGGAAACTGAAGTTGTATTGTGAACAGAACATCTTGAACCGGTTCAAAGAGGCTGAACTAGTTCAAGTTTGGCAGAGACTTTTCGAAGCCAAACTTGAGCATCTTGAACCGGTTCAGATCCTCTGAACAACTTGAACTGGTTCAGCCTCTTTGAACCGGTTCAAGTTTGGTAGACTTAAATTTTTGGTTCCTTCAGCCCTGATTCATTCTACTATAATTTTAAACAAAATGGAGAGTGTAGAATGTGTCCAACCTTGTTTAGAATCTTTTCTAAAGTGTTGTTCTTACTTTTTTCTTCGAAAATCTTCAAGTATGGTAAGTTTGAACAATTCCCAGTTCTGTAATCCCTGTCAAATTTGATAACTTACACAACAAGTAATACGAATTACAACTTGACTTGGACTTATTTTGTCTATGATAATTGCCAAAAATAAATTAATATCTCACAAGCCTCTCATCAACAGACAAATACAAGAAGGAATCTCATCTTTCCACATTTTATTCATCTGACAATAAGACTCACTAAAATAAAACACTTCTACTTATGTGACACGAAGAGTAACTTAATATCACTGGTGTTGAGGCTGAAATTCGCGCAGTTCGATACGATACCGTTTTCCTGCAAGGAAGAGAGGAGAAGATCGATGAACCTTGACGGCACCGATGTGGTGCCTGCCAAGAGCTCTCCGACGATCAAATTAGTCACGAAGGTCTACAAAGAAGGCAAGGATTAATAATAGTTTTTACGTCGTACCTTCTTTAATGGCTTGATGTCCTATTTATGGCTGTCGATTGGGATCAAAATCGTTCGGCTGATGTCGATGGTTGACCTTATCTTCCGCTTGTGCGAAATCATAGGAGATTTATTACCAGATTTGTCGGAATATGATTTAATCCTTTTGATCTCTTCCAGTTATAGTACGATTATTCTTACATGTTTAACCACGTCAGATTTAATTTCATTATCCTGGATAACGAAATCTAATCAATCTTATCGAGGGTAGGGTAGGTTTATATTTTTCCCTATCATTTGCCCCCCATTCCCAAGCTTGCACGTCTAGCTTTGGGAATGTAATAAATAATAATAATACTTTTTCTTTTTTTTTTTTTTTTTTTTTCAACCCCGATGAACAGTACCCGCGGGTACTATTCACGTAAATAGTAACTCAGGGAATTTTTTTTTTTTTTTTAATACCCCTGTGAACAGTACCCGCGGGCACTATTCATGTCAATAGTAACTCAGGATTTTTTTTTTTTTTTTTTTTTTTTTTTTGCACCCGAGGGAACAGTACCCTCAGGCACTGTACATGAACAGTACCTGCGGGTATTGTTCATGAATAGTAATAATTTTTTTTTTTTTTTTTTTTTTTTTTTTTTTTGCACCCGAGGGAACAGTACTCTTCCTTTTAGAAGGGAATAAATTATATGAGTTTCACTCCTTAGTAAGGGAATTGAACTTTACGAGTTTTACTCAGCTCACCTCTTTAATAAAGGATTTTTATTTACTATCCCTTATTGTAAAGGGATATTAATTATGGGATTCATCCAACCCAGGTCTTTGTAGTACAGGACATTCATTTATTATCCCTTATATTACAGGGATATGGATTACGGGATTCATTCAATCCGGGTCCTGATAATACATGATACTTATCCCCTATAGTCCGGGGATATGGATGACGGGATTCATTCAGCCCGGGTCCTTGTAATACAGGACACTCATTTACTATTAGTAAAGGGGAAATGGATGACGAGATTCATTCAGTCCGGGTCCTTGTAATACAGGACACTCATTTACTATTCCCTTATAGTACGGGGATACGGATTACGGGATTCATTCAGCCTAGGTCCTTGTAATACAGGACACTCATTTACTATCCCTTATAGTACGGGGATACTGCACGTATAAACTAAAAGGAATTTTATTAAAGACCATCATTATTAAAAATAAAATAACACGTGATGGAGCTACCCTCCATTTAAAATTATTAACTAAGATGCCCCCAGTCTTTATTGTGAATGACTTGATAAGGCTAATTCCAGCCGCGAGACAATTTCTAGTTGGTATATTCATCTGAGTCATTCTCATGATATGTGCTGTCACTCTGGCTGAAGAACGATTTCTTATATTTTGTATTATTTTCATCCCTGGCGAGAAGGGCTGGCCTCTTCTTGTCCTCTCCTTCCTTCCGTGCACTCATGGTGTCTTCAGCGTTGATGTGTTTTTTCGCTCTGACCAGCAACTCTATCATGCTGGTGGGAGGTTCTTTTGATAAGGAGAACAAGAATCTGGAGGTTTGGAGTCCTCCTATGAAAGCTGTCAAAGCTACTTTGTCGTCCGCCTCTTCTACCTGCAACATCTCTGCGTTGAATCGGGTAATGTATTCCCGAATCGACTCTTCCTTTTGTTGTTCCACGGTAAACAGGTAAGTAGCCGGCCTCCTATGCCTCTGACCTGTAATGAAGTGGCTCACAATTGCTTACTCAATTCTTCGAAGGTGTTGATGGTTCCTGGCTTCAACTTGTTGAACCAAACTCTCGCTGATCCCGTAAGTGTAGTGGGAAAGGCTCGGCACATAATTTCATCTGGCACAGCGTGTAAATGCATAAGAGCTTGAAAAGTTTCCAGGTGATCGAGGGGATCTTTGGTCCTATCGAAGCTTTCTTACCTGTTGAACCACGTCAGATTTGATTTCATTATCCTTGATAATGAAATCTAATCAATCTTATCGAGGGTAGGGTAGGTTTATATTTTTCCCTATCAGTTGGCATGGAAGTCTTTGTCCATTTGCAGGGCATTTTATACGGTTGCTTCTTTAAGCTCCCAACAATGCCAACATGTCATTTCACATCCAAAATAAGGTGTCCTACAGATGGTTTGTAGCTTCAACAAATTATAATTCCCCACAATGGCCAAATGTGATGCACCCAATTTAGGAGAAAAAGTTCAACTAAACTTGTAAAACCTGCTTTTTCGCAACTATGTGGATCCAGTTCATGAATCTTGTTTGGTCAATCTGTTTTGTCAAGGTCATAACCTTAGTCAAACCAAATGTTAGCATTGGCCTCTGGTTGATGCTACTTCGATTGGTACTTTACCTCCGAGTCTTCCAATTGTTGAATATGGTGATAGGAGGATTCACTTGACGAATGATTCAACGGTTGAAAGACCCCGTTACCTGAGGTATTGTAGATTTTATCTGATATCAACATTCGTATTTTAATAATGCTTATTTAATGAATCCATCATTTCTTACCCGTCTAACAACCACAATAAATCAAAAGTACTTTTTATGTCTAATAGTGGAGGTAAAAAAAAAAAAAAAAAAAAAAAACATAAACACATAAACACAAAGATCCAGTCGCCAATAATAAAACAATTTGGCACATACGAGAATATTTCTGCTGCATATTCCCTCCGTTCCAAAATAAGTGTCTCTTTTTTAAAATTTAAATTTTTAAGAGAATGATTTTTATTGTATTAGTAATGAATAAATTACTAAATTTACTTTTAGTTAATTCAGAGTGGACCAATGGTGTGATGGTTTACTTTTGAGTACGGCTATTTACCTCGACAAATAAAAACCTACTACTTCATCGAGTCTATGTGGCTGGCCACCTATATGTCAAATATAATGGGATCCATTTTAAAATATAAGGTAATTAACTATTTGAAAAGTTGTACTTCATTTTTTAGGTTTCATCTTAATCTATTAAAGTTTTAATCACCTTGTATATCAATTTGTATATGCATTTTATATATATACATCATACTGCATCTCTATAAAGCATACACACTTACGACAGTAGCTCCTATATATAATTAGATAGGCATTTGTTCATTGTTACAATGATCAAAACTAATGATCTATGTAACTCCATAAACAAAAACAAAGAGAGGAATTTAAAAAAAAAATTGTAAAGCATTGAAAAATATTGCAGTTTTTGTTTTAGATTTTGTACCAATCAAATTCTTATATTTGAGTACCACGAAAGTTGCTGTGAAAGCGAAAAAGAAGATGATACAGTTATGGAAAACTGAAAAGATAAAGAAAAGAAAATTGGTGTATTTTATGGAAATAAATAAAAGTAGTAATGATGCTTATTTAAATTGAATTTTATAATAAAATGTCATTTTTTTTGTCAGTCGGTTTTAAGTCGGGGTATTAATATAGTCAATAATATTATTTCCCTTTACTTTTTATAGGTTCAATACAAAAAAAATTAAATTGGTAATATTATAAAAAAAATAAAACATTGACTTTTCAAATGAGACATTTATTTTTGGACGAATAAAAATGAAAAATAGCACTTATTTTGGGATGGAGGGAGTATATTTTTGTAGAGAATTACAACATGGACAATAAGTGTCTCCTACCCATAAATAGGAAGTTTCTTCTACCAAATGATGTAGTCTAATAAAATTTTGACATATATACTCAAATTAATTAATATTAAAAATATATTAAGAAGTGGATCGACCCCATTTTAATGGGTTAACTAGGCTCTAATTAAAATCGGTTAACTAGGCTCTAATTAAAACTCATTTGAGAATGTTTTTTAAATCGTCTCTTCCCCTAATCTCCATCTCTATTCTCCTGTCCGCGAACCCTAATCAATCTCAATGGCCACCCCAAGGCTTAATGTTTTTCCTAAATTGTAATCGATTGAAACATTTAATTATTACTTAGTATTTTGGATTGAAACACTAATAGAGATCAAACTAAGAATTTGCTTTGCCAAACATAGGTTATCAACTTCAACATCAAGTTATAGATAGAGAGATGCATTCTAACCCTACATATGTAGACATATACATACATCTTATATATATAGCAGGAATCCCCTCTCATATATAGAAATATATAAAGATACATAATGCCACATAGATACCATATTAGATATATGGAGTTCTCTCCATATACGTACAAACAGTTGAGTAATTTCCCACTATATATTTTTTTAAGTTAACCATTCCCCACTCTTATATATAGGTTATATATGAATCGGGTTAATCTAAAAAAAGAAAAAGAAAAAAGAAATGGATTTGTTTTAATTTGGTCTTTTTTGTAATTACGGAGCATTAACATGTGTCCAAATTAAGAAAATTCTTATAGAAAAATCATACTTACATGATAGGAGACAAGTACTGCCCTTAACTTATTATAAACATTAGTATGACAAGAATTGCCTACTTAGCGGTAAGTAAGTCATATGTGGTCCAATCACATGTGTACAAATAATCTGTAATTATAAAATTTTGAAAGTGATAAATAAGGAAATTAGAGGGTAATTGAATTTATTCCAAAAAAAGTTATTCTCCTTATTTAACACTTTTAAAATTTTATAATTACAAACTATTTGTACATTGTGATTAATCTACTCATTGATGATGAATAGGCAACTCTTGTCATATCACTATCAAATTCGAATTCAATTTGAGTTATTCCACAATTCTATTCCATCCCAAACTAAATTAAGGTTGGAAACTCAAATGTAGGTTGCAACTTAGGCTGGGTAACATGAACCCAACCCTAGCCCAGCCTGATTTTTCACGGGCTTGGGCAATCATTTTTATTATTAAGATTGGGCTTGGGTTGAAAATTTTCAACCCAAATTTAAATAGGATTGGGTTTGGATTGAAGTGTTAGCAACCTGAACCAACCCGAATTCTAATATTATTTTCATAGATATATTTTTATATTTAAATACATTATATATAATATTTAAACTATGATTACTTTTTTTTTTTTTTAACTTCTTTTGTTAAATCTTAACTTATTGTATGTTAACATTTAGGAGAATTAATTTTCTAAAAATTTATTAAAAATTTACAAAAAGTCTTTAAACTTTTTCTTGTTTAAGAGTAATTTAATCTAAAACTAATTAAAAATCATATTAAATTTTCGATATAAAGATTAGCCATATGAGTAACTCGAATTAACTCGAAGTTTTCACCCAGAATCTAAGCCCGCGTTGCAAGCCCAAATTTAAAAGAAGAAGGATGAATTGGGTTTGAGTTGAGTAGTTAAGGTTGAGAATAGAGTTAAAGTTAGACTTAGATTTAGGATTTCCTATGATGGGTTGGGCTCAATTTATACCTCAAATCCGCCCGAATTGTCTATCCAAGTTGCACCCCGGTAGATTTAACTTCTTTAAATTGCTACCATAAATAAAAAAGGGGCAAGTGCAAAAAACACCCTGAAGTATACATTTGATAACACTTTTACCCCTTATTTAAAAAGTTGTGCAAAAAATACTCTTATTCTTTTCAATTTGTGTTAAAACACCCCTCAATTAATATAATGTCTATTTTACCCTTTTACTTTTTCAAAAGTGCCCCTACCAAACATCATTTTCTTTTTTCTCTTTTAACCCTTCTTTCTCCAAATGAGAGCTGCCGACAGACCGATGAAAAGTTAGAATATAGGATGGTTCAGCGGTTTGGCAAAGGATGGTGGCGAGCTCCGGAATTGATGGGTCTAACTGAGACGATCAATAGCCCTCAAAGCACTCAACCAATATAAATATCAACCTACGTAAACACAGTTTAGTGTTGTTACTCCTCTATATGCAATTAGTAGACAACACCAATCAGCTCTAGTCGGCGGAGAACTGATTCCAACATAGAAATCCAGATCTATATTCACATTATGTAGATATTTATTGAGAAATATTACTCTCATGACCAAGATCTGGAAAACCATCATTCAATATACATACTGTAAATATATATATATATATATATATATATATATATATATATATATATATATATTAGTGGATGTATGGTTAAGATCTTCATGAAACTAAAAGAACTTATATTTCAATGCCATTTAAAGTTCAAAGTGAAACATGTGAATCAAAAAATAAGCTGGAATCTACTGAATTCTAACCAAATCCCAATTTGCAATAATTGACGATTTCTAAATAAATTGAAGTAAATCTTAAATTCCAGTAAATCTAAATCACTCTTACCTTGAAAATCAAGGTTTTCCCAATCCAACCAGCAGGGTGATTCGCAGTATACTCATATCCCTGGTCAAATTACTCTCAATCACCACTATATCGCCGAATATAGTCTGAATTACGGTCGAGGTCACCGGTGCCAAATCAAATGGACACAATTCCATTTCCAGAGGCAAATGCACATTCAAATCACAAACACCCATCAGAGCCCTCGCGCATGGCACAAGCCGGAGCAACTCTTTGGTGCTTCCGCTCTTGCTGAAGAGCACCAAAGATCGGAATTCGGCGATGATTTTTGGGAAACGGAGGACCGGAGAAGGTTGAGGAGGTAGTGGAGGTGACCCACGTCGGCGGCGCAGACGCCGGAGAGATTGAGCCCAGAAAGGTTATTGTCGGATTTGGTGCTCTTCCAGGGACTTGCGATTCGAGCTTATTAAAGAGGTTGCCGGTCAGAGAAATTTGATGTTTATGGGTTAGTTATGCTTGCAGTCTTGCACTTGAAATCGTTGCCGGCCTTGTTTAGTTGTTCGTCTTCATAGATTCAAAACCCAGATCTGATCACAAATTTTTAATTTTTTATAGCTACCCTTTTGAGTCATTTCACAAAATATTAATTATATATATATATATATATATATATATTATATTATATTAAATGTGTAGCTAAGGGTATTTTAGCTATAAATGTATGAGTATGACCTATTTGCATAAATATTATAGTTTAGGGAGTAGGACAAGGGTATTTTCGTCATACTACTTTGGTCAATATCGAAATAGAGGTATTCAAAAAGGGGCTCAATGTAATTACCAAACAATACGAAAGCTAGAGATCACCTATCGTCTATCGTCGTCACACATAAACACAACGCACATCATTCTTCGAGAGCCTTTTATACTTTTCTCTCTAAACCTCTGAAAACCTAAAAACCCGTTAACTGTTTCTTTCTTCTCCTCTGCTTCACACTCCACAATTGTTGCTCTGCTTCCAAATTGCCGTTGTTGCTCTGCTAATCATCCATGTAAGTGCATACATGATACATCTCACACATAAACTCAGTTTCTAGGGTTTTGTGATGTTGGGTCTGTACTATATCAGTAGTTGCTTTGCTTGTCCGTTCTTTACCCTTTATATGTATTGGTTTTGATTGCAAACCAATTACTATGTTGACTCATACCGAATTGCTATGTTGGGATTTAGGCTTTGTTGAGTGTAGTTGTCTGCTTTGAGGATTATATATATATTCTTTTGCTCCAAATTTTTTTATTAATATTTTTTTTCCTGTTTTGGATAAAATCTCTTGGTTAGTTTTTCTTTTTCTCTGAAGGGTTCTTGTTTTTTTTTTTTTGGTGATTATCCAAATTTTGAATATGCCCAGATTTCGTTCTTTGTTTACCTGTTTATTTCCTTTATTTTTTAGCATATAATTAACAAGAATTAAGTTTTTAGACACTGCCATTTGGTGCACTTGTGTCTTGGTATCAATTTCTTTGTAGTTTCCTTATAAATATCAATAATGTACTGCTCAATTCTTCTAAATTGGGCTGGGTTAAACCTGTCAGACTGAGGAAGTTTTAGTGAAATAGGAGATCGTACTTATTCATGCTAATCCTGTTCCTTAAAATTTTGAATTAAGAGGAACCTGTGTGTGCAATTGTGTATATGCATATACTTTGCTGGAATGAGATGAATTTAATGCTAACAGTGGTTTCTTACTTTAACGAAGTTAACATAGGAGTGTGAGTTGACAAGGATCATTAGACAAGAATACATGCGGTTGCAATTGGTCTTCATGTTGTTATAATAAGGAGATTGTTATTGTTATTATTTGATAATTAAGACATCATCAGGGAACATCCTTAAATGTGAAATATTTACATACTATGTTGTCTCAACCAAAAAGGTCTAGATTGTTAGTAACACCTAGAGAGTCGACGTGGATGATAACTGATGATGTGTCAATGTATTTGCAATCATGTATGTGTGAGTTTCATTGCTAGTGTTATTTAACTGGACAGTTCTATTGAGCCCATGATACAGCAAACGGGCCAGTCATTCAGTCCTTTTTAATTTTCATACCAAGTCTTTAGGTTTGTTTTAAATTACATTTAATATATGGAGTAAAAAAGATTTGACCCTTGACCTCTTAAATGCCTTAACAAGGCTAGGTTAATGGGCTAATGACCAACATGCCAGCACTACATGTTTTTTTTTTAATTTTTGGCTCTTCTTAGTGTTTATTATTTGCGAAGCAGAGTCGGTTAGCTAGGTCAACCTGTTGTTGAAACAGTTGACCTTTAAACCGGCCATTAAAAATGGCTCTATGCCTTCACTCTTCAGTTCCGATAATTATGCAATTTTTGCCTAAAATGAGAGTACTTCAGATGCTATCTAGATTAGCTGCTCCTAGGTAGTTATAGCACTATCAGAATGCCATTCTATGATTGTTATCATAAAGGAAACTAGTTACTTTGCAGTCATAACAATATTATGGTCTTTTGAACTGGTTTCTTCATGCTTGACTGTCGAATATGATCACTTATAGTTTCAGTTTGGTTCTATGTTTCAGCACAACAATTATGGCTGAACTTGATCAAAGTTTTGGTGAACAAGATATTGATGGAATACCCGAGATTTCACATCCTGAACAAAAACAGGAAGATGATTCAGTTATTGGAGGTGGGCCAGGTGGCGATAAGAAGTGGCCCGGATGGCCTGGAGAGAGTGTCTTCCGGATGTTGGTTCCTGCACAGAAGGTTGGTAGTATCATTGGACGCAAAGGAGAGTTCATTAAAAAGATGTGTGAGGAGACCCGAGCTCGCATTAAGATCCTGGATGGTCCTCAAGGAACAGCAGAAAGAGCTGTAAGTTTTTATTTTATTTTCTTTATTCATTTTATCTTTCCATGAGAGATTTATGGACATTCTAGGAAGCCAACACTGGTTAATGCTCAATATTTCTTGGTCTGACCTATTTTGATGTTCCCTTAGTATATTTCAATTTATTTTTTTACCTAGTTTTGGTGCTCCTTATGCATCTTCCTTGATTTCACACATTTAAAACAATCTGCTAGCATGGAGGTTCTGTAATTTCATTTCAAATATCTCTCTTCCGAGTTAGGTTATAATTTTTATTCACAAACAATTTCTTTCTATGATGATTAAATAATGGTGAATGCATGCAAGTAAACAACGAAACTTGTTAAAAGGTGTGAAGGATTGAAATAGTAATCACTTGCAAATATGGTTATATGATGGTAAAAGTTTGCGGTGTCACTAAAACCGAAGTGCAAAGTGATAAGATTGCTAAAATGAAACGTTTTGTATGATGTGAACTAAGATATCATAATATAATTATGATTATGAAGCTTGGTTGTCATGTCAGGAATTTTATTTTAATTCAAAATTTAAATGAAAGATATGTAATCATCTTAGGAATAAAATAATTGAGATGAGAAGATCAATTATCAATCAGTGGCTGTAAATCATCGACCAAAATGATGTTTGTCATCCAACCATGGCAGAGCTGGTTTTGAATAAATTATGAAGTTTAAAATCTCATTCTTTCTAAAGTTCTCTGAACTCACCAATACACTATAACCGGATTAAGTGATATAATGGTCCATTATTATGAAGATTCAAGAGGGACTCAAGAAGAAAATTTATTTGTGGCACACATAAGTCATTCGTCTTATGGCTTCATTTACTGCTTTCTAACTCTGCTGTTTTAGAAAGTTGGAACATAAATTCATATAGTGCTAATGAATCTAACCTAGGTGAGGAATGTGGAGCAAGGAAAATTTTGACATCTTATAGATCAAAATATAACTTCATATTAGAGATACATCTACCCTAAATATAGTTATATATATACCAAAGCAAGAAAAAGGACAGACAAATTTAGAATTACAAAGCTTTAATAAAGCTCCTTTTATTGCAATAACAAAATCGATGTGTGCAGGTTCTGTCGGCAAAATTTAAAGGCAACAAATCAATCATCAATGTATTCTCAAAATATGAAGAATCAAACATCCAGAATACTGGGATCAGCATTGATTGTTACAACTGCTGAAAAGTTGATTCAAATAAACACCCGTATCTTATATGAAAATGAGAATCGAGCAGCTCTGAGTTCTATCTGGTAACTTCAGAACCTGGATGGTTGATTTATTGCCACACATTTTAAACACCATGAAGAATGCTGAAGATCATTGTTAATGCTTGAGTATTCTCTTTAAGCTTAACCAGCCTGTGATTGCAGTAGGGATAAACGTTACCTATTGCAGTTAAATAATTTGACGAAATAAATTAATTATGAACCTTCAGTCTTATTCTTAATCTTCTTGCAAGTTCTCAAATATCATGGCCTTTTTGATTCTATAGTATGCGAACAGAATATAGAACCAAAATTTAACATCTAAAAGTCTAATCGAATTCGTACCAAGAAAAAGTACAGTAACTCAAGTATTTTAATATTATGTTTTATATGATATTGCACAAATGAAGTGCAACATATTTTCGCAATCCAACTATTGATAAGAGAAAAAGCTACTCAAATGTGAAGTTAGGACATCAAAATTACTGATATACTAAAATGTAAAGAAAATAACACAATAATGCAAGTTAGAAATTTTTTCATGCCTGAAAATCACTTTTGATGTAAACATTTGGACCAAGCTACCCTATTAATTAATGTTTTTCCCTTCTCTTACCGACGATTTTCCCTCAACTCTGCACTGTATTGTATTCACCAACAATGCCAATGAAGAAGACTGGCACTCTAAGTTGCTGTCCTCTATCATTGTCACGTGTTCCTCTCATCCAACACTTTCGCAACTCTCTCGTTTAACAATCTCACTACTTTATGTGATATTGGTCAACAGTGGTTGGAGTTGCCAACTTTGCCTGATGGCCGTGATCAGAAGCATTGGTGGCCAGACAATGCAAAGACATCTGACTTGTGGTAATTGGCGAAGTTGATCGACAGTTTTGTGACTTATTCTGTTTGACTATGCGTGTTTGTTTGTTTGGGGTTTTGTGATGGTCTTTTTATGATTATGGAATAAGGCTTGATAAACAATTGTGACGGGGTTGAATTTTGTTGGTTCAAATCTTTGGAAAGAACTAGGGTGTTAACCGAAAATTTGAATTTTCTCAACTTATAACTAATGGTTGAAAATTTTGGTCTTGCCACTTGAATTATGCAATTACCTAGGATATACACCCAAAGTCCTGTGGCATTGCAGCAAACAAGGAGACAGTTTTATAGATCCTAGGATTGTTAAACTTCATTTGCCTTAAAAAAAAGTCTACTAAGTTTTCTGAATTTTATGTTTGTATGCATTCTCAATAGATGCAGGACAAATGCAAAGACTCTTTCCCATAAGTTTTGGTTCCTCACTGATTTGGGATCTTAAGTGTTCTATTTAAAAATATATCTATTCGGTTTATAGAAAAAAGTTTAAGATTTTTGGTTTGGGGTTGGTTGGGTAAGGTAAAGAGGAGTTTTGTGGTTTTTCTAGAGCTGTCAATGGTAAGTTGGATTATTTGTAGTACTGGGATGGTTAGGAATAAATATTAGATGGAGGAAATTAGGGGCATCCCAAAATAGAGTTTTTAGTTTCTAGCAAGGTTCGAAAGCACGCGGATGCACAAGTCGTGTAACGGATGTGGGGTCGTATAGGATGTAACAAAATGGAATTGGTTATTGTGGTTATGAAATTTTATTGATGTTGCACGCCATAAGATTTGCACTATAGTCTATGTCGAAAGAGACTCAAGTGAGACATGTCCAATTCCCTAGGGACTCATCCAAGTCTCATGTGATTCAGATTCTCACTTGCATATCAATGAGTATTGGACTCAGATTTGGCCAAAATCACCTATTATGGTACAAGATGGATAGTTGGTTCTTGGAAACAAGGTCTTGTAACTCTTGTTGCTAGTATGAAATGGAGAAACCAATATAAACTGATGAAACTTATGACTTCCCTTTTAAAACCATTATAAACTAACTAAATTCCATATGAAAATGCCTAATCACATAACATGTGCAAAATTATGTTGCAATCATGTCTGGAGAAGTTCGGTATTACAAAAAATACCCTCGAGTCTTAAAACAAAACAAACATGTTGATACTGAACTCAGACTTGGCCGAAATCACCTATTATGGTACAAGATGGATAGTTGGTTCTTGGAAACAAGGTCTTGTAACTCTTGTTGCTAGTATGAACTGGAGAAACCAATATAAACTGATGAAACTCATGACTTCTCTTTTAAAACCATTATAAACTAACTGAATTCCATATGAAAATGCCTAATCACATAACATGTGCAAAATTATGTTGCAATCATGTCTGGAGAAGTTCGGAATTACAAAAAAAACCCTCGAGTCTTAAAACAAAACAAATATGTTGATACTGAACTACAGAATACAAACTTAAAAGAACAAAACAAAGTATGACTCTTGATGACTCAAAACTTGATCATGCAAGGTCCTGAGTTCTCGTCTTAAAATTAATACGTCTTGCTTTTAAATTGTTGTCTTTTAATTTGATTTTCTTGAACTTCATATGAATTGCATCACTTGTGAGTTGAATCATGTTCTTGATAATCTTCTCGTGGTTGTGGACTGGTTCCATGTATTTCATGGTAGAAAGAACTATTTACAGAAAATTAAATTTGTTTATAAGGCGCCGTCTCTCTCTCTCTCTATCCTCTCTCTCCTTTTGCCCCGCTTACTTTTTCTTCTTCAATGGATAGAAAATTTACTGTTCTGCCTCTGTTCCCAAATATCCATGTTGTATCAGAATAAGTGATATATATATATATATTTTACTTACATCTGGTAAATCAAATATTTTGGTATGGTAGTTTACCTCATTTTTTTCCTTGTACTTTTCTTTTAATCACTGTAATCCAAGTCTTAATAATATTCAGCATGGCTTTCAGAAATTTTTGGTTAGTCTCTTTGTCAAACTTCAAAAGTTGTTTTTCTTTTTATTCCTATTGTATGGGAAAGAAGTTCATGGTACTCCAATTTGCTGTAGTGCTATTAATTAGTCACAATTTTTTTAATTATCTGGTGATTATGCTGCTGTTCACTTTTGTTGTTCTTTTGGAGAAGGTCTGTAGTACTACTAATTAGACACAAAAAATTAATTATCTGGTGCTTGTGCTGATGTTTCCTTTTGTTGTTCTCTTGGAAAGGTTATGGTATCTGCCAAAGAAGAGCCTGATGTTACTCTTCCCCCTGCTATTGATGGCCTTCTTAGGGTTCATAAACGCATCGTGGATGGGTTAGAGGGTGATTCTTCTTATGCTCCACCAGGTGCGGGAGGCAAGGTTTCGACAAGGCTGCTTGTGGCAGCCGCACAAGCGGGAAATTTAATTGGAAAACAAGGAGCAACAGTCAAATCTATTCAAGAATCATCCAATTGCATTGTTAGAGTTCTCGGGACAGGTTTTCTTCATTGCATTTGTATTCCTATAGTAGTATTGTACTATTGTTCCTCTCTTACTTTGGCTAAAGTTGGACTTTTCATGTGCCAATTCTTCAAGCAAAAAATTACATCTTTATGAGTGAGGTTTTCTGAGACAATTCATTATGTCGGGTCTGTTGACCTACTCAAGGATTTGATATCTTGAGAAACAAAGTATGTCACTGGATTTACTGGGTTTTGAGAAACTCATCACTGGCTTATTGTTGTACATGTTTCCTCATATTTTCTGCTATTTATTGTGAAACATGCAAGTTTTTGTTTACGTCGGCTTGATTCCTTTCTTGGGTTTAGTTCAACTTGTTGGAAATAAATAGTTGAGCTCAAATTGCTGTGCTAAATGTTTTGGAACATCATATGTGTATTTTGTTTTTATGTGTTTATCCAGCTTTTAAAGAAACAATCAAGGTTAGTTTTGAAATTGTTGACAAGAGTTACATCGTATCCATTCTTTCATTCTTCATGAGTATGGTCGCTTGTACTGAGGATTTGCACGACCATTGCTTTAGCTGGAAGCAAAGAATTAGTTTGACTTTCAAAATTTATATATACATAATACGTTCACCATATTGTCCGAGTCAATCACAGACTGCTAATTTTAAGCTCCTTGAAAGTACATTTTTGACTTGTATATACTTTTCCTCTTTTGCACATCTCACTCTTGCCAATTATTGAAATGGATTAATGCAGAGGACCTACCCATTTTTGCTATTCAAGATGATAGGATTGTGGAAGTAGTAGGGGAGCCTGTAGGTGTGCACAAGGCAATTGAATTAATTGCTTCTCATCTGAGGAAATTTTTAGTTGATCGCAGTATAATTCCGATGTTCGAAATGAATGTAAGTCGGCTCTTTCATCAGCAATTCAGTCAAGTGAACTATTTATGACATGTTGGGAATATTAAACTGACTCATTATGAGTTTCATCAGATGCAAATGCAGAACACTCAGATGGAACAACACATGCCTCCTCCCCAATCCTGGGTTCCACAGCCTCAAGCTTATCCTCCAAATAATACTGGTGGAGGTCCTGGTTATGTAGCTAATCCTCATTTCATGCCTCCTAGGCAAATTGACAATTACTTTCAACAAGAAATGCCACCTCCGCTAGAAAAACAGCCTCATCAGGGTATTTCTGTCTACGGAAGAGAAGCTCCGACTGGAATGTATGGATCATCCAACGCCCAGCAGGCGCCTTCAGTTATCACACAGGTTAATATCTGCTTCCAGTTTTGGTATTACTTTAATCACAAGTGTTTTTTTTAGTTAGGAGAAAAGGCTGGAGACTTTGTCAAACATAGGAATCAAGTTCAGCTCCAAGGATTGTAAATATCTATTTTAGGTTGGACATAGGATTGGCTTCATGCCCGGTCATCTCCCTGCCCAACCCAGCCGGAATATGTAAGGAAGAATTCTTTCTGAGCCTACATTTCCAGATGGGTTGATCAATCATGACTGGACTTGTAAATCACTTGAACATCTTTCCTTCAGGCTGCACAACTTTTTTTTGCTTAAACTTAGATTTCCATGTCAAATGGACCAGGTTGTTAGATGTACTAAACCATAAGCTGTCACCCCAATTCTTCATGTGCTGCCCCCCACACCACCCCCCCCCCCCTGCGGTGCCCGCCCGCCCGCCCCGGTGGGTTGTTGTTTTTTTTTTTTTTTTAATTTTTTATATTTTTATTCATCAATTGAATGACTCCATTGTCCTTGAGTTCCAGGATTTAGCATGCTATAAACTTTTTTTGTTTTCTTTCTCTTTTTCATTTTTCCTGTTAAGTTTCCAGGAGCGAGAAAAGTAGTCGCACTAGTGTCAATTCTTTATTTTGGTGGGGCCTGGGTCAAGACATGGCCAATTAAGTTCAGCTTAAAGTCTGATCTTATAACTTGTTTGTGAGCTCAGTTTAGCCAAAACAACTGCTCCTTGTACAACCAAGTGAAGAGCTAGTGAGGGCCGGAATGGAATATCGTATGTAGCGTAGAATCAAATCTGAAGCTCTTTAAAACTTGGACATGCTTTAGGCCATCCCATGCAAGTCCAAGTTCATGCAAGTGCTGTAGAGAGGAAAAAAAAAAAAAAGTGTTTATCTAATTGTCTTAACTTAATAATTTGATATTAATTGTTTTCCAGGTCACACAACAAATGCAAATCCCACTATCTTATGCTGATGCTGTGATTGGTACAGCTGGTGCAAGTATAAGCTACATTCGGCGTGTTAGTGGGGCTACTGTTACCATACAGGAAACAAGGGGTGTTCCTGGCGAAATGACAGTTGAGATCAACGGAACTGCTTCTCAAGTACAAACAGCTCAGCAGTTGATTCAGGCAATCTTTCTTACCACTGGCTTCTGAATGAATTTATTTTTCGTTGCATTTTTTTTTTCCCATTGGCAAGAAACTCACTCTCGCACACTTTTTTTTGCTTTCTTTATGCTATATATATTACTTGCTGATTTCCATTTTCAGAATTTCGTTGCTTTTTATTATTTGAGCTGGAATCAATGTCTGTGCTTCATCTTTTTATCATCAAAATGCTATTGCCTTTATTTTTTTTTTTTTTCTTAATTTGGATTTCACTTTCTTTACATTATAATTTGTTAATTATTATTTGTATATTATTTTCTTACTTTGATTAGTCAATACGGGACACGTATAGTTATACGATACAAACCCATTGACATGGCAAATTTTGTAAAAAGTATGAGACAGACTTAGACTATTCCTTCAAAATTTTGCACACTAATTTTTTTATTTTTATTTTTTGGAAAGTAAAATTTTGTATACTAATTAATGAGTAATGTGGAAGATCAAACTTGACAAAGCTTATACGGACTTGTTACATAATACTTACTGTCTTCTCTTACTACTTTTTTTTCTTTACAATTGTGTTCTTGGGCTATATTAGGAAGGATGCATATTTGACCTATAGTGATCATGTGTACAATGTCGATCTATCATTAAAAAGAAAGCGTGAGACGTGTTAAGACATCATCTCTTGTTTTTAGGAGTTTAAGCATGGCTCATATTAAGTTGGATTTGTGCAACATAGGTAATGTGTTAGAAATGAGTAGTGTGTTGCTCCAAGTGTTTGAAATAATGCAATTTGTTTTCGAATTATGTGCACATTCACATCGTGTTGGACATGTCCTTGGAAGTGCTTGTTGGTATCTCAGACAGACAATGGCACTTTCGTGGTAGTGACCATGCTTGGCCTAAAAAAACTTCTAAATCTAGTTGATTTTCAAGTGCGCCATTGTGAACTATATCCGATTATCAGCTGATTACCAATTTGTGTTGCAGAATTTCATGGCTGAAGCATCAGTCTCTCAACAGACCCAACAAGTCGGGTCCACAGACCAAGGTTATAACTCTTACAACGCTCATGGTTCTCTTTACGCATCTCCTCCTTCGAACCCAGGACTTGCAGGCCAAACTGGAGGTTACGGTTCAGTGTATGGCACCAACTATGGTTATTAAGCAGGGTGGTCCTCGGTAGCATTCCCTTCTCATTACAAGTTTATGATATTTCACTATTTTTTACTCGAGCATTGGTAAACATACCAAATAATTCCTATATAGGACGGTCTGTATTGTAATTTGCTTCCTTTCAAGTTCACTTAGATCAAAGCACAATGCTAGATTTATTGTGTGCATTAGGTGAGAACCATAGAGTTAAACTAATTCGGTATTTCAAATTTCTTACACTTTTCAACTTCATGTCCTTTCTTGAGTTGAACCTATTCCATAGCTTCATATGGGTCTCTTTCCCATTAGTACTAGTTCTTTGACAATATAGAAAATAGACTGAAAATATTCATGGGTCCGAAAATGAAATTCTGAGTCTCAAAGTGGTAAGGATTTGAGTATTGATTTGTTTCGAAATGATGGGGAGTTAGAAAATATGACTAATTTTATTTGAATTAGAGCTGATGAAATGATATTAGAGATTAATAACATTATGATTAAGAGTACATGGATGGCATCAGGCACTTTTTTCTCCCACGACTTGAACTCGTTGATTTTGACTCATGCTATTAAATTTTTATGGGTTGAAATGTATATTAGGCCTCACTGAAATTTTGCAGCTTATAACAGTCGCGTAGGCCTCTCTAAACTATGGAGCTATAGCAATTTATCATTTTCTCTTTCAAAAAATAACCAATGGCTATATTTATAATGGTTATATTTTAAATGGTTACATGTTAAAAATTCAGTATTTTCTAAGAATTGTTATATGAAAACAAAGTTTTTTTTAATTTTACCAACAAGGCTAAGCTCCTACTTTTCAAAGGGAGATCAGGGATTTGAGCCTGACGTGTGTGAGTACAAATTAGGAAAAAAAAAAAAAAAAACACAAACAAACAAAAGTTTTTTTTTTTAAAAAAAGAGAGCTTGAACCAAACAAAAAAAAAATTCAATACAAACAAACAAAAATTCATTATTTATTTACTGAATTTTTTTTTTAAGAAAAAAAAAAGAAAAGAAAAAAGAAGAGACCATGGAAAAATAAAAGGGCCAAAAAGTTTTTTAAAAAATAAAATAAAATAATTATACAGGTTTTGGAAAGTGGAATGCCAAACAAGGCCTTATGACCATTGCCCAAAATTCCCATTGTTTTGGACAGTTGATTTATTGGACAAAGGTAGAAAAAAAGAAAAAGAAAAATGGACCCAATTCCTTTAGCGATCACTCATCGTCAGATACCACTTGCACTATAAAGAGCCTCCTACTGGGCCCCACTATCAGGCGAGGTTGCTGTGGCCCAAAATTGATAAAGTGCAATGACCTCTTCAAAGGCCTTCAATGACTACGAATTTTTGTTTATCGGTTCCCTCTCGATAGTCATTGAGGATGAGTTCAATAAAAATTCGTACGCCCCCAATAATTTTAGTTCACGGTACACTATTGCTGACAAAATAACCTCCATACCAAATGCTGACATGCTATGCCCAAGCTTAAGTTCACATTCATTCATTTTATTTATTTATTTAAGTTAAAACAAACACGCACTCATTATTCACCATATGCTTCTACTGGGACTCAAAACTCTCGACCTCCCCTTTTAGAGAGAAGAAATCATACACATTATACCACCAGACTAGAGACCTTTTGGTCACATTCGTCATTCCGAGTGGAGCGGCCAAATTTCAAAATAACAAGTCTAGTCCGAAACTTACATTTTAATTCAATCGAATAAGATGAAAATCAAAACAGAACAAGTTCAAAAATTGCTGTGCTGAAGCAAAAGCCACGATGAACACAAATCTCTAAAGCTCTAGAAAATCACTACTTATATTGCGAAGGTCGAAACCATTAGGCCAATCCACAGTAATAATAATAATGTATCATTAAGGTGATATTCATAAAAGACAAACAGCTGAGAATGAACTTAATTCACCTATTGTAGATGACAAAGCATATAATAGCATTCACTTGCTTATCTAAACTAATAGGACTAACAAGAATATTTGCACAGAAGAGAAGTTTACCCATATTTAAGAGCACTAAATCAATTATTCACTGCAAAGACTAAATGGGTGCCGCACATGTTGTTCGAAAATGGCCCGTCTGGTTGCAACGGCTACAATGCACAACTCGCTTCACACGACCACGGTCTTCTGCCCTCACGCGCTTCTTCCTTGGCCGGCCAGGCGGCCTAAGTGATTTAGGTGGATTAATAATAACCTCACCATCTTTGTTTGCATTTGGATCTCCTTCAGACAACTCATTCCATAAAGTTTTATCTGGAATGGGGTGTATAGTTTGTGAGTATGCCTTCCGATAAGTCGCAACTGTGAAACAGCTCTCAGTAAATCGATGCACATTCTGCCTGCAAGAAAGGAGAGCTGCCACCGCATGTGCACAGGGCAAACCATACAGCTGCCAACCCCGGCAAAGACAGCAACGGTTCCTGATGTCAACAATATTTGTTCCTTCATGAGATATAACTTCAAATTCAGCTTCATTAGCACGAAGCACCTGATAAGTGCGCGCACGCTCAAGAGCCTCTGCAACGCGTCTCTCGGCAGTAGGCACAAGAATTGATGTCCACTGCATACTTGCCTCTCGTCGTTCATTGAACCAAGTCATAAGCTGCCTTCTAATGCATTCCATCATCTGAATTATTGGAAGCCCAGAGGCTTCTATGATCCATGTATTTAATGATTCAACGATGTTAGCTGTCAAGTGCCCAAAGCGTGTTCCCTCGAAATATGCTGTAGCCCACAAACGAGGTGGAATTCGTCTAATCCAATATGCAGCATCTTGTGATATTTCTTCTATCTCCAGAATTTTGGCTTCAAATTCAATTACTGTGAGAGCATGAGCAGCTTCCCATAATAGGTTGACAAGCATTGAATTATTAAACTCCTTACGGAAGCTTTCACTCAAGTGACGCATGCAAAATCCATGAAACGCCGTTGGGAAATTCGCTTCTACTCCATCTACAATGCCCTTCTGCCTATCTGACAAAATTGTAAGCCTTGGCATGTTCTCTGTATTAACCTCAAGCAAGTTATGAAGTTCAGAGAGAAACCACATCCAATTTTCATCATTTTCCTCATCTACAACACCAAATGCCAAAGGAAACAGAGCACCATCCCCGTCAAAACCAGTAGCTAGAAGTAAAGTGCCAAGGTACTTGCTTTTCAAGAAGGTCCTGTCAAGGCCAAGGAGTGGTCGACAAGCATTCAGAAAACCATAAATCGATGCCTGGAATGAAATAAAGAGGCGCTGGAAGCAATTATCTACTGGGTTCCCGTAAACAGATGCGATACTTCCTGGATTTGTTCTTTTAACTTGTTCACAGTACTGTGGAAGAAGGCGATACCCTTCTTCAAAGGATCCACGCATGGCAGCCATAATCCGCTCCTTGCCCCGCCAGGCTTGCTTGTAAGATAAAGTGATACCATGAACTCGATGAATCTCTTCCAGTATCTCCTTCGGCTTGTAATTGGGGTTTTCCTTAAGCCGTTCTTCCACAGAGTTTGCAACCCACTGAACTGAAGCTTGCTGATGGCCTAGATGAGCAATTCCTCCACATGTATGAGCCTCGTGAATGGTCCTGATTGTGAAAGTCGGTACACCAGGAAGCTTTGCGGCGTGTATGCGCCAGGGGCATCCCTCAGTCGCACATTTAGCAGTGAAACGAGTTTTATCAGATTTTATGGTCTGTATTTCAAAGTGAAGGGCAATTGCAGTGTCCCTTAATGCCCTTCGGCAGCTCTTGACATCAGGGAATTCTTGTCCCACATGCAGCTCATAATTAGGAGTTGCAACTGCAGTACGCGCTTGAATGACGGGACTAACAAGCTGGCCTTGCTGAATGCTCATATTGTGGGTAGTTTCAACCGCCATATCCTGGTTCTCGTCCACAGCTAGTTCCAAATTTTCATCAAATCCATGGTTTTCAGAAGCAGCCAATTCATTATGGTCAGATATAAGTAACTCAGGGTTCGGAGCAGGGAGATCCAATTTGTGGCCCTCATGTTCGGGCTTTTGGTCCATAGCCAACCCATTCTCATGTTCATAATTCTGACCATCATCTCCTCCGTGGTCTTGGGTTTGCCCTAAACCCATCTCATGGTGATGGGCATGACTCAAACCCATCTCATGCTCATGTGTATGACCCAAACCCATCTCATGCTCATGGGCCTGTCCCATACCCAAATCATGCTCATGTGTCTCTCCCAATCCCAAATCATGCTCGTGGTTCTGACCAAGACCCAGATTATGATTATGGCCTAGCACTAACTGCTTCTGTCCAAGAGCTAAATTGTGATTTTGCTCAAGTATCAACTCAGGATCAGCCATTGAAGACATAAATCACCCAATATCAACAACAATTATTCCTCAGCACAACAATCAAGAGTCAAAATTTCGCCTTTCTAACAGTATCAAATCACACCTGTCTCGAAAAATAGCTACCTTTAATAAAAGAACCACATTGCCACTCACTATTAACAAATATAAGAAGCAAACATGTAACAATGATCAAAACAAAACATGCACGAAAAAAAAAAAAAAAGAAGTTGAAAACTCTTCTCAAATTAATGAACCCCACCAATAAACAATCAATGTACTTAGGTAGAAATACTGCCTCTTTCTATTTATCAATATAATATCAGGCCTGCTTTCAAAAGCACAAGTAAGCCCAATAAAAAAAACTATAGTTTTATCTTACAGAGACAAAATCAAAACATAATTAACATGAGACAAGAATTATTGCCAAAAAGGGAATGTAAAGGCATAGAACACAAAAGCAATCACTCACCATTGCTCCTGTCACTAGTTGGCTTCTCCATTGTGCGATTCTGCAACAACATCAGAACCAAAAGCCTCCTAATTTCACACCCTCACATCAATTATTCGGAGCTGCATCAATTAACGAAAACATATCAAACTTCAACAAAACCAAAATAATGAATCAAATAATCAAAGAAAACCCAATTGAGCTAAAACGTCAACAAAAATCTAAACCGATCAAAACCCATCAAAGCCTCTTCAGAAACCCAAAAATATATAAACACATATATACATATATCAACAAAAGAGTACCTGAACATACGAAACCCAATTCAAAACCCTAGTTTTCTCTGTGCGAGTAAAAAATCCAGGGTACAAGCTTCGAAGAACATATAGATGAGTTGGGTTTGGAGTGAAAGTCGAAGAATTGCAAAAAGAGAAGACGATCTGGGATTCTGGGCACAGATTTGAATAATGAAAAAAAAACTGAGGATATCGAAATTGGAGGTAGAACTAGGGTTTGGATTGGTGAGTGGAGGGGCAAACGAGAATTTGAAAAGGGGAAGAGAGAGAAATTGGCGGGTAAGTGAGGTGAGTGTGGAAAATTGGAAAGAGAGAAGGGCAAGAGAGAGAGGGGAGATGGAGAATTACAGGGGCAGAAGGGGGCGTTCGAAGGTTGGATGGGAAATACAGGCACGGTGGAGCTGAGAAAGATGGGTATTTAGGTCAAAATATAGGACACTTCTTTTTCTCCTTTTTGAAATTACTCAATTGCCCCTCAACTGTTTGCTTTGGATGGAATTATCTAATTGTCTTTCTTATAGCTAACTTTACCTTAATATGTTGTCATTATCAATGTTCTTAAGGTAAGTGTCCATACATACTTACCTAAGTTACTTTATTTTCAAATAATAATAATAATAAATTTTGGAAACTCAAATAATACTAACTAACATGAAAAATAAAAATATTATTTTTTTTAGTGTTAATTGGACTTACCTTGTCGACTTGAATAAATTGAAGAAGTCCGGCCGATCACCTGAATTTAGATTTAAAAATATTAGTTTCACCTGGGTAGTTTTATATTCATGTGAGGTGTACCTTATTATGTTATATGGACATTTAAAAAATGTATGAAGTATTGTATTAGTTACAAGTAATACGTACGAGTAAAGAAATATGTGTCATACACTTGAAAAATATATTTAATTTTATTATATTTTTTGTTGTGAAATGCCTATTTTAAATATTATGTGTATTTTGAATATTATGTGTATTTTTTTCCTAGTTGGTTCACACACATATGTCATTTTCGAGACTTGAACTTCTGATTTTTCTTTGAAAAATAAGAAGTTGATATCTCTAAGTCACTAGTCCGTTTGATTTGAATATTATGTTGCATATCACATAACATAGGCCTCTTGTTTGGTAGAGGAAATATGTCAAAAGGGAAATGAGACAAGGAAGAATGATCAATGATGTCCTCCTAAGTGGAGTTTTTGTACCCTTTCATGATTATTAAAGTGCATAATGGTAAAATAAAGAAGTATACTCAACTTTCCATTGTTTTATTTCCTACACTTTGACTTTCCGTTGTTTTATTTCCTTTCTACCCAAATACACAATAGAGAGACTTCTTTCTTTTCCCTAGTCATATATTTTCCATCCTGTCACCTTGTTCCCTCCATTTTTACATCCACACGGCAACAAAACTTACATCGATCTGTATATATAGTAGCTAGGATCTCTAACATATGGTTTACTTTTGCTAATGATTTTGTATCAATTTATTCATCTGTTGATGCAGTAGTTTCAAGGTGAACTCAAAAGGCAGTAACTTGAAACTAATTCACACTCTTAAGTTACTATTCCTACAGAGGATTTGTTTCAATTGCTATAGTTTTAAGAATGTTAATGGAAATCACTGCATGCAATAAAAGGGCACCCAGATTAGCTTCTGAACCATTGTCATTTTGTAATTTTTCATGCAATTTCATTGTCAAATTACTTTTAAACTTTGTTCGATAGCATGGAATTGATGAAGACCAAATTTGACTTCGAATTGTATTTATATATATATATATATAACTTATTGGCCTCGGGGGTTTGTTTGGTCCCTTTTGTTCTTGGATCATTATACATTGTACATGTTATACATTATTTATACAATTTGTTTGAAATTTCGGGAAAAAAAAAACAAAGAACATTTTCTATGATCTGACAAGTCTGATTTTTGTTGAATCATCATGTCTATATGATTTTCATTTTTTTATCCGGTCTATTAATAATCCAATAGTTCATACTGGTCACATGTACTTTTCATTAATTTGATTAAAATTTGGATTGTAACTATTTATTTGTCATAAAGTATGAATCTTCAATAGTCACGTTGACACTTCTATTTCGTAGCTTCTCTGCTCTCAGTTGCAGTTTGCAAATGTGATTTAGCTTCTCTATTATCAAGTTTGCACTTTTCGAGATCTATGAAGAGTCAAACAAATATTTTTATAAATTTCTCAACCCAATGTGTTGGCCCCAAGGTTTCAACCTCCTGTCATTACTAGAGGCTCTTGCATGGCAACCTTAACTAGATTTTTTTTTTTTAACCGTGCATTGCTCCCTATCTACCACGCACAGTGTCTCTTGGTGACCCATTCTTATTTTTTGAGATTTTCTAATCCTGAAGCTATTTGTTACGGATGACACTTTCACCCTAATTTATAGCCTTCCTATCTACCCTTCACACACTATTCTAAAATATCTCTACAAAACTCTCTACACTGATTTTCTAAAGCTTGTTTACACCCTACCAGCCTTCCTATATACCCTTCACACTCTTTTCTAAAAATATCTAAAACCTTCTCTACACCCTACAAAACGAAGCCATGAATTTGTTTCGGGTGCATATTAACACATGATAAAATTGTTTTTTTCCCAAGTAAAAGTGTAGCAAGATGACAATCCAACAAACAGAACATAGTGCAGTAACAATATAGTAATCAAAATTCTTGAAAAAATTTGCTATAAAAAAATTCAGAAACATCAAGGTCTTTTCCACAACAAATTTTATTTTGCATTTTGTGTAAAATAGTAATTTCTTTGTGTAATTGTGTTGTAATTATTCCAAACAAAACAAGTTTGGTAGGTTAGCCCTAGTCCAAGGCGGTCGCCTAGGGCCTCAACATTTAAAACGATTCAAAATTTTCAAGTCCATGAGTGAAAGGTCCCAAAAAAACAAAAAAAAAAAAAAAAAGGCACCTTCCCATGACGTGATATCATTCGAACTATTTAGCTCATCTATCCCGTGAGGAGTGAACTAAGCATTTGCAGATGTAGAAGTTGAGAGAAACTAATATATCATGTTTCGTTTTTATGTGTTTTTCTTTTTGTATGTTTTTAATATTAATATATTCCATGTACTATCTTCTCATTTTAATAAAAATTTCGTACTCTTATAATTCTTATAATTTTTTTTTACGCATATGTTACCTTGTGTATAAAAGGTCTCACATTTAAGTGTGTCTAGGGCCTCTCAAGATTTTTCAATCAACTAATATGTTGCACAATACTTCATAAAAAAATAAAAAAAAATAAATTAGTTTTTTAAAAATGATATTGGCATTATATTGGTTTTAGAATCTTGAAATATATAATATATATATATATATATATATCATTACAGTTGTTAAACTACTATAGGCAAAATAAGTGATAAATGATTGTTTTTTTTTAGATTTGGGTTTTTATTCTGAAATAGATATAGTATTAATAAATGCATTTTGGTGACTTATTTATCTTTTCCACCAATTTGTCAACAAAAACAGAAAACAGAAAACGATTGCACAAGAGGGGTTTACCACTCTAATCAATCTGCTGCAATTGCTGTAAAAATGTGGATAGCAGACAACATCTCTCTTTTTGAGTGAGTTTGTTAGAAAATTTTGGGGTATTTGAGCTATTTGGCGGGAACGCAATCTGAGATTACACAAAGGCAACTGATGAGAGATCACCTTTGGAATTTGCTAGAGTTGTGTACCGGTTTTTGAAGCAATGGATCTTGCTGCTGTTAAACTTGATGACATATGTGTTTAGTAAATTAGTAGCAATGCTTATTTTTCTAATGGTCCTTTGTTTTCTCTTATTTATTGGAAGTGGTCATTTTTTAATATTAGCCTATTCTTCTTGATGTTCAGGGAGGATGTCGAATAGGCTTTGTTCAATAACGAGGTCATGCACGGTGCACACGGTTCGGATTGGTTCGGTTGAAAATATTTTGAAATCAAATCATTTTTAATGATTCCATAAAAATTGGAATCGGACCAAACCATGAAACTAATGGAACCAGACCAAACCAAACCATGAGAAAACGGTTTGGTTCAATTCAATTTCACGATTTTATTCTTTTTTATAATTCAACCTAATATATATACATATATACAATTAAAAATATATATTATATATAATATAGTTTTCTATTATAATATAAAATGTTATTTTATATTATGATATATAGTTGTGTGGAAAAAAGGCTAATCTTATTATTTATATAATACAAAATATAATTTATAAGTGGTCTTGTAGAAGAATCTCAAATCGTAACCGAACCGTTTATAAAATATTCTACATTTTTGAAACCTAATCATAAAAAAATCAAACCAAACCTACCAACTTTATTTGGTCCGATTCTATTTACGGGTTCAACCGATTTTTTATGCACTCTTACCTTTTCTTAATCATCGTTATATATTTGAATGAAATCAACATCATTTATGGAAAATGCAAAACACAGTCTGTATTGTAGACTAATTTAATAAATTATATGCAAAAAATGTAAAAATATTTTAATATATATATATATAATAAGAGACATAACCAAGTGAAAGATGATTACTATTTTTTCCATTCTCATGGGATGGAATGGCAAGCAAGGTTGTAAATACATGTTGTGGGCCTCTGGCCATTAATAACTTTCAATAAATAAAGAGGTAGAACTGATTATACATGTCATATAAAGAAACCATATGTATATTTCCAGAAGACAACCAACAAGTTGATGGCTGTTCACATAATTTTATTACCCAGAAGGAGTCTGTAGATACCAAAGGACCAAATAGCCCAGCGGTATCACCTCCTTTTCTAAAGAAAAGTTCGAAAGTTCGAACTTCGGTGGAGATAGGATGTGTGCGTAGATTGTACAGAAAATATTCATTCACACCAGCAAATGTAACTTGTAAACTTTGACCAAATATAAGAATACAACCTTCTTTTCTTCTTTTCTTATCAGGAATGCCATCGGAACAAAATTGAACTGTTCGATTCTGTTCGATAATTTCAATGATTCTGTTCCATTTTAATTTAATTTAAGAATCATTCAAATTTGTCTTGTTTAACCTGCAACTGTATCGAATCGAACAGGTAGACTATGACCTTTTCTGGATGATATTTTATCTTCTTTATTAATAACGCGAAGAGAAGCACCTACTTTTTTGGATGGGAGGGTGATGGGTGCTTGTCCTGATGGACTTTCGATAGTAGTCGTATGTCACTTGTCGGCATCTTTCAGCTTTCCTCTATATGATTCTATGAAAACAACGAGCACATTCGTTGGAAAATTTCAAATTTTATTTTTATTAATATATATATATATATATACACACACACACATATTTCAATCTTGATTGGGTTCTTAA